GGACCCTTGGAGGTCCTCTAGTCCAACCACTGCCCAAGGCAGGAGGAGTCTTTATGTCTGTCCAATCTCTTCTTAAAAAACCTCCAGTGATGAAGCGCCCACAACTTCTGGTGGCCAGCTGTTCCGCTGGTTAATTATCCTCACTGTCAGGATGTTTCTCCTTAATTCCAGGTTGCTTCTCTCCTTCATGAGTTTCCATCGTTTCTCGTCCCGTCTTCAGGTGCTTTGGAGAATTGTTTGACTCCCTCTTCTTTGCGGCAGCCCCTCAAATATTGGAAGATGCTATCATGTCTCCCCCGGTCCTTCTTTTCATTAAACTAGACACATCCAATTCCAGCAACCGTTCTTCATATGTTTTAGCCTCCAGTCTCCTAAAATCATTGTTGTTGCTTTTCTCTGCACTCTTTACAGAATTTCAAGGTCTTTTTTTTTGGTGCGTGGCAACCAAAATTGGATGCAATATTCCAACTTCTCTCAAATATTGGAAGATGCTATCATGTCTCCCCTGGTCCTTCTTTTCATTAAACTAGACGCATCCAATTCCAACAAAGATTCATTCTGCCCTGCAAGCTTTTTTTTTTCCTTCTCAAGACTTCCCCAAATCTGGAGCAGCTGGAAAAACCGTTTCCTCGGTGCTGTCACCGGGAGCAGCTCCCAACCTGCCCAGCTGCTGGGCATAGAGCCCAAATTTAAATGTTGCCTCGTCTGCAAAGATCAATCAGTCCCTCCCTGGCATTTTGCCCTCCCTCCTCCATTGCTTGTTTACCACCTTTTCTCTCTTCGCCACTTGGAGCTCAAGCAACGCAAGAACTCCCAGGTGGGTATCCAGAGCGAAACGGCGGCCTGGAGACTGGCACGCCCGGAGCCCTGGCAACACAGGAGCCCCTGCCCCGTTTCTCCAGTGGGGAACGTGCCAACACCAGGAGGCCGTGCGATTGGAGCGCTGCGAAACCCCCTGGAGAAAGAATGGCTGGCTAAGGCTTCATTGGAAGAACCAGGCTCGCTTTGGAGTGATGTCATCATGCCGCAATGAGGACATTTGCCCACAAGAGGGCAGCAGCTGCTTCAGTCATTTGCCGAGACTTCAATTCCCATAAATCCCGTCTTACCTGACCATCAGCTAAACTGGCAGGGGCTTGTGGGAAGCCCAATACAGTCAGGTGGAGAAGGCGAGGAGGGGAAAACCGGCTTCGATGTAGGCAGTCCTTGACTTACGACCACAACTGAGCCCAAGACGGTTCAGTTTGGCCCCATTTTACGACCTTCCTTGCCACCGTTGTTAAGTGAACCACTGCAGTTGTTTTAGTCAGTCACACGGTTGATGAGTGAATCCGGCTTCCTCAATGACTTTGCTTGTCCGGTCACAAAAAGGGTTCTTTTGACCCTGGGACACAGCAACAGTCGTAAGTATGAACCAGTTGCCTGATTACGTGAGGGAGAGAGATGCTGGAATGGTTGTAAGTGTGAAAAAGGGTCATAAGTCACTTTTTTCAGTCCTGTGGTAACTTTGAATGGTCGCTAAGTGAACTGTTGTAAGTGGGCTACTACCAGTAGTAGCTAAAAAAATGCATCGTGGCTTGAATGCAGTTTGTAGGGGGGCAGGGGGGTCCAGGCTCTCTGGGGCCAAGCATGAGGCAGCCCAGGGGAGGGCTGAGGACACCCCTTGTTAAACCCCCTGGCCTTGGGAATTTTTCACTTTTTACCCGTAAGCTGGAACCCGTTTTTCGTTCTCGTTACTCTGGGGATTTGGTTCGTGTATTTAGGCCAATGGGTCTCTTAGGATGCCCATCCATCAGCCAGAGTCATTCAGGTGAGATGGGCCAAAGCGGAAGTGTCATTAAGACGGCGGCTCAGAGGCAGGTGAGGACACCTGGTGGAGGCTGGCGGCAGCGGCTCAAAAGCCAGCGGGGAGCTGCCTGTCTTGGGGGGGGTTGGGGGGCAGAGGAATAGAAATAAATAATAGAAGCAAAGCAAAGCTCAAAGGGACTTTGCAGGTCATCTAGTCCAGGGGTCACCAACCTTTTGGACCTCAGGGACCACTAAATTCATAATTTTAAATCCCGCGGACCACTAATATGACCTAATGACCAGCTGGGTGGGTGTGGCTGGTGGTCATGTGACCGGGTGGGCGTGGCCAACTCAATGTCACTCACGTCGAGGGGCGCCTTGCCAGCCTCTACTCGCTACTCTTCGCCTGCCCACCCGGGCTCCTTAGGGTCCCAACAGGAAGCATTTGCTGGAGCTAAGCAAGAGAAAGAGTTGGCAAAACAGCTGGCTCAGTTCAAATTGGATCTGGCCGAGAAGGAGGCTCAGCAGAAGCACCTCACTGAGGACTAGGAGCATAGGCTTTCCAAGCAGAGGGAAGACCTGCGGGAGGGCAAGGCCGGGTACCGGCACCTGGAGGCTCAGCGGACTGAGATGGTCTAGCTGCTTGCCACCATCGGCACTTCCCTCCAGCCTTTGGCCAAAGCCCCACACCAGGAGGACGAAGCAGACCCCAAGTTGGAATTTCTGCCCCCCTCCGACCCACCCAAAAAGACCCCAAAGGGGGAGACTCTCTGCAGCAACACAAACGTTCATTGCACGACCCGGCCCAGGGGCCGTAGTTTGAGGACCCCTGATTTAGTGCAATATTAAAAATGCAAATAATTTTTCTGGGGACCACCAAAACTTTCTTGCGGACCACCAGTGGTCCATGGACAACCAGTTGGTGACCGCTGTTCTAGTCGAACCCTACTTAGGCAGGAAATCCTGTAACATTTCAGACAGGCGACTGTCCAGTCTCTTCTTGAAAACGTCCAGGGAATGGAGCACCCACAACTTCTGGTGGCCAGCTGTTCCACTGGTTAATTGCCCTCACTGTGAGGAAATTCCTCCTTAGTGCCAGGTTGCTTCTCTCCTTGGTTAGTTTCCATCCGTTGCTTCTTGTCCTGCCCTCAGGGGCTTTGGAGAACAGCTTGACCCCAGCAGGCGGACCATACCAACTTTATGGCCAAGTGGGGAATTCTGGGAATTGAAGTCCAGGTATCTTAAAAGTGGCCAAGCAAGGAGAGACACCCATCTAAACGATGCTGAGGGATCCAAACTACAGAAAACAAGGTTGGAAAAGATTTGTTGCTGAGGATTTGTGAACACGGAATCCTCTAATTAGCTAGTCTGACCATTTTTACATCCATTTTTTTAAAAAATTGGGGGTGGGGGAGGGATAGGAAGCCCACGAAGCCGATCCTTTCCAGTCTAAGCAGAACCTGCTGCTCCTCCAGCCTCCATCAAGGCCATCAAACAGACTGCAGGGAAATCTTTTTGAACCAACTACAGCTCAAATGATCCCTTGGTAGGTCAGAGGCTTCCCTCAACTACCCTAAATTCAGTTCTGGCCTTTTCGATCAGAACCTACTGTATTTTTCGGACTATAAGACACACCAAGATTTCAAAGAGATAAGAAAAAAAAAAGGTTTTTTGCCCTCCCCGGCCTCCAGGAGCACTCTGCAGGCCTCCCAAACCCTCTGTGCGTCCCGTTTTTGCAAAAAACAGGCCCATTTTTTTGCAAAAACGGGACACGCGGGATGGGGCTTTGGGAGGTGTATTCGGTGTATAAGATACGCCAACATTTCCACCCTCTTTTAGGGGGAAAAAATAAATAAAATAAATAATTTCTATACCGCCCTTCTCCCGAAGGACTCAGGGCGGTGTACAGCCAATTTAAAAACACAAGACACAACAATGATTAAAAATTAAAATAATTAAAATAAATTTGGCCGGATTAAAACCCCAAAAATTTAAAACACCCAATTTAAAAATCATTACATTGATAGCCCGGCCTGGCAGAATAGCAGGGTCTTGAGGGCACAGCGAAATACACGGAGGTCGGAGATTTTACGCATTTCCGGGGGCAGTTCATTCCACAGGGCAGGGGCTCCCACAAAGACGGCCCTCCCCCTGGGTGTCGCCAGCTGACATAACTTGGCTGATGGCACCCTGAGGAGACCCTCTCTGTGGGAGCGGACTGGCCGGTGGGAGGCTGTTGGTGGCAGAAGTCAGTCTCGAAGTGTGTCTTATACTCAGAAAAATACAGTAATTTTTTTACAATCAGGCCAGGTCATATATAGGTAAGTCCTCGAGTTACAACAGTTCATTTAGTGGTGCTCAAAGTTACAACACTGAAATAAGTGACTGATGACCCTTTTTCACACTTATGGCCATTGCAGCGTCTCCAAGATCATATGATCAAAATTTGGACGCTTAGCAACTGGTTCCTATTTGTGACACTTGCAGCCTCTTCAGTCAACTGATCCTCATTTGCGACCTTCTGACCAGCAAAGTCAACAGGGAAACCAGATTCACTTTACGACACTATTATTCTCCAAAGCCCCTGAAGGCCGGAGAAGCCACGGATGGAAACTAACCAGAGAGAGAAGCAACCTGGAATGAAGAAGCTTCCTGACAGTGAGGACAATTAACCAGTGGAACAGCTGGCCACCAGAAATTGTGGGCACTCCATCACTGGAGGTTTTTAAGAAGAGACTGGACAGCCAGTTGTCTGAAATAGTATAGGTTCTCCTGCTTGAGCAGGGGGCTGGACTAGAAGACCTCTGAGGTCCCTTCCAGCTCTTCCTATTCCTATTCCTATTCCTATTCCTATTCCCCATTCTATATTCTATTCTATTCTATTCTATTCTATTCTATTCTATTCTATTCTATTCTATTCTATTCTATTCTATTCTAATTCTCCAATATCTATTCTATTCTATATTCTGCTCTGCTCTATTCCATTCCATTAATTTAAGAACTGCACTGATTCACTTTACAACCGTGGCAAGACAGGTTGTAAAGTGGGGCAAAACTCACTTAACTGTCTTGCCCAACAACAGAAAATTTGGGTTCCATTGTGGTCTTAAATCGAGGACTTCCTGTAATCGGGACAATCCTTTAGACAGGAATTACACGTTCTTCCTCCACCAAGTTTTCTTAAGATTTGAAAGCAAACGTGGAAACCACACTGTTGTTCGGGATAATTTATTGTAAATCTTCGAACAGTTTTGTAGAACAGTTTGTAAACCACTTGTACAAATGCTGCGTTTGAACCACTCTGGCCGGCCTTCGCTCAGATGATCCCAATCTGAAAAAGAAGAGAAAGAAAAGGAATGTTAGCCATCTTGTTCTCACGGATTCAAGGCCTCCATTCCTTCCAACCCAAATCCTGGGTTGTATAAACAGAGGCACAGAATCAAGATCAGGTGAAGCATTACTACCACTTTCTAAAGCCTTAGTAAGGCCAGATCTGGAATCCTGCAACCAATTTTGGTCACTAAATCACAAAAAAGATGTTGAGACCATGGAAAATGTGCAGAGGAGAGCAACTATGATGATTAAAGGCCTGGAAACATAGGAAGAATGGCTGCAGTCTAGAGAAAAGAGGATTAGGGGGGACATGATAGCACTCTTCCAGTATCTGAGGAGCTGCCCCAAAGAAGAGGGGGCTCAACCTATTCTCCAAAGCACCAGAAGGCAAGAGAAGATGCAATGGATGGAAACTAACCAGAGAGAGAAGCAACCTGGAATTAAGGAGAAATTTCCTGACAGTGAGAACGATTAACCAGTGGAACAGCTTGCCACCAGAAATCGTGAGCGCTCCATCACTGGAGGTTTTTAAGAAGAGACCAGCCAGCCACTTATTTGAAAACAGTATAGGTTCTCCTGCTTGAGTAGGGGGGGCTGGACTAGAAGACCTCCAGCTGTGCTCTATTCTACTCTATTCCTAGAAGAGAGCCCCCTCCTCCCCTATCACAAAGGTGCTTTTTCAAGAGGCAACTGGACTTTCTGGATCCTCATCCCCTATGGAAGCAAGTCCCATAATGCACAAGAGGTCTTACCTTGTTGGCCACATCGAGCGCGTCGTAATCTGGAGCGAGACGGACATAGGCTTTTTTCTCCCCGTCGGGCCTGAAAGGAGGCAGGAAGTCTTAAGCTCCGGAAAATAAAAGGATCTTCCCCCAGTTCTAGCCATCGAGAGACAGTTACAATCCCCAGAGGTCTCTAAAAGCATGGCTGAAGATAGTCCCTCCACTTAACTTTTCATTTAGTCACCTGCATTTATCCCAAAGGTGCATTTTTCCAAGAGGCAACTGGACTTTCTGGTTTTTTTCTTTGAAGATGTTTCGCTTCTCATCCAAGCAGCTTCTTCAGCTCTGACTGGATGAGGGGTGGGAATGGAAAGGTTTACACTCCTTGCAGTCAGAGCTGAAGAAGCTGCTTGGATGAGAAGGGAAACGTCTTCAAATAAAAACTAGAAAGTCCAGTTGCCACTTGGAAAAATGCACCTTTGGGACAACCTTGACCTGGATGACCAAGGATCACTACAGACATTCATTGCATTGATTTTTCTTCTGCAGATCTAGGACTTTATTTATTGGCTTCCTCAAGCACAGGAATTGGGGCGCAGTCTGATCCCCCAGATTAGAGGCAGCCGACCCAAATGAAACTGATGGAATGCAGCTAGATCTTGGATTACAACCATTCATTTAGTGATCAAATTAGTCACTGTAATTTTGTTGCTGGAATCCTTACGATTTATATTGATAGTTTCCTGATTGCTTATTTGTACCCTATGACTATCATTAAGTGTTGTACCTTATGATTCTTGATGAATGTATTTTTTCTTTTATGTACACTGAGAGCATCTGCACCAAGACAAATTCCTTGTGTCCAATATTCTATTCTATTCTATTCTATTCTATTCTATTCTATTCTATTCTATTCTATTCTATTCTATTCCTATTCTAAATTACAATGCCAGAGTTGAATTATGAGTGTTTTTCACTTCACAGCATCCCTGTGATCAAAATTTGGCCGCTTGGCAACTGATTCCTATTTATGACGGTCGCAGTGTCCCGGGGTCATGTGATTCGCTTTTGCAACCTTCTGACAAGCAAAGTCAACGGGGAAGCCAACCATGTTACTAATTTCAGAACTGCAGGGATTCACTTAGTAACTGTGACAAGAAAGGTCCTAAAACGGGCAACACAGAGTTGCAGTTTGTCAGCAGAAAAAGGCCCAGAAACTTGTGAATGAGATGTCACAGAACCAGGGCTGTAGAACAACTTAGTTTACGTAGGTAAAACCTGGCTAGAAAGAATACGCATATATATATATATATATATATATATATATATATATATATATATATATATATATATATATATATATATATATATACACATACATATATATATATATATATATATATATATACACACATACACATACATATAGTATATATACATACATACATACCATAATGTATCATAGTGTAGCTGGCTAAATATTCTGAGTAGATATGCTAACAGCTGTCCACAATTTGATAGCTGGTTTATTATGAAGAGCTTCTAACTAAGTGTTAATAATTAGAGACTGGATACTTTGAAAGTACTAAATCAATCCAATGATCTGTGTGATAAGCCTGTTCCCCATCATAGCTTCTCACTAGCTCTTCATCTATCTATGCACACAGCCAAACCAAACAGGTTGTGCTTGCTTTGCTGATAAGAAGCTAAGAGTTGGTCTTAATTTAGATTCTCATAGAAAAGCTCTGAAAGTGACTGTAAATCAGAGGTGGGTTTCAGCAGGTTCTGACCAGTTCTGGAGCAGAAATTTTGAGTAGTTCGGAGAACCGGTAAATAAGAAACTGCCCCCATCTATTCTCTGCCTCCTGAGTCCCAGCTGATCGGGAGGAAATGGGGATTTTGCAGTAACCTACCCCTGGATTGGGGAGGAAATGGAAATTTTACAGTATCCCTTCCCCTATCATGCCCAAAAAGCCACACCCACCAAGCCATGCCATGCCCACCAAGCCACGCCCACAGTAAAAAAATTTGAAACCCACCACTGCTGTAAATGGACTGATACCAGATTCAAATCCGACACTGGCATCAGAGATGAAATTTTAAATATCCATCAGAAAAGATTTTGGAAGGCTCAATAGTATAAGTGACAGCAGCCACTAAAGATATTAGAATGGGCAGAATGGGTTTGTAATGACTTTGAACACAGCCTTCAACATCCAGAGGAAGATAGCTAGAAATCCTAAAATGGATTGAGCAGTGTTTATTTCTGTAGATTTATTTTTTTCCTTCGGTGGTGAGAAGGCCACAAAGTGCCCAATGGTAAGTCCAGGGATGTGATTTTCTGATGAGGAAAAGAATCATAGAATAACAGAGTTGGAAGGGACCTTGGAGGTCTTCTAGTCCAACCCTCTGCTCAGACTATACCCTATACAATTTCAGACAAATGTTTGTCCAATCTCTTCTTAAAAACTTCCAGTGTTGGAGCATTCACAACTTCTGAAGGCAAGCAGTTCCATTGATTAATCGTTCTAATGGTCAGGAAATTTCTCCTTAGTTCTAGAATCGCTTCTCTCCTTGGTTAGTTTCCATTAATTGTTTTTTCGTCTTGCCTTTTGGTGCTTTGGAAAATAGTTTCACCCTCCTCGTCTTTGTAGAGCCCCTGGAATACCAGAAAACTGTTATCATTATTTATCAATTATGTTAGTGCTATCAAAGCATTAACATAATCGGTAACCGGTACAAATGGCACAAGAGATTCCTCCAGAAAATAGATGGAAGAAAGAAATTCAAAGAGTCACCTATCCAAGGATTATAAAATGGATTCCCACCAGCTGCTAAGACATTTGATGAAAAGTGAGGAAGATCGACTATTCAGTTCTGAAAGCTCTTTTCTTAAAATTATACAGGAATAGTTCCAGTGTTTGGGAACATAGAGGAATACATATATATTAGGCACAGAGATATGTTAAGGTTGACAAATTTAAGTATCTGTTCTGATTAAATTAAGAGTTGTTCTGAGCAGAAAAGTTAGAGAACAGAAAAAAGATGGTTGCTTAGTAATTTTGCACCAGACCATGAGGGGACTTTGCAAAAAAAATAAATAAGAATCAAAACAATTAATCGAACTGGAAAAGTGAAATTGCTTGACAGTTCTGATAAAGCTTGACTGAATTTGCTTTAGGTGGATAAATAAAAGAGAAAACAAAACTGTGAAACTCTTTTGCTTCGTTTTGCTTTTTAATTGCAAAACATTAAACATGTTCAAACAAGAGAAGATGAAAATGGGACCCTCAACTCAACTTGAATTGCCTACAGGTTGAAAGTAGCATTTGAATCTGTCAACACAAGAGAAGTTATTTAATGTGCATATGATTTAATCTGTTTTGAGGATAGGATTTTTAGTGTGCAAGAATGTTTTGACATCTTAAACTGCCTGCAGAGGCTTAGTGATAGCATCACTGCTTCAATGTGATAATTTCAGGTCAATGGAATGTATGTGTAGATAATTGAATATAAAATTAGGTTTCTAAAAACCAAGTAAAGATAGTCTTTGACTAACAATTGGGACCAGAATTTCATTTGCTATAAAATGCTATGTCTCATGTTATATTGATATACTACAGTACATGATTATACAGTAATGGCCAAAATTGTGGAAACCTTTTGGGATTTGTGTATTTTCTAAAACTAGCTAATCACACCACTTTTTTTTGGAGTAGTACCATAAAATTATATATCAATGGATAGATAATTTAATCAAGAATGTAATGCAATAACTTTTATGAAGGATTTTCTATTAGAATAGCAGTTACAGTATAAAGAAGAAAAGTGAAACGTAGAAAAAATGAGATATAAAAAAATTATCGACATAGAAAAACGAGATATACAAAAATTATTACATCAGTTAATACTTAGCTGGGTAACCTTTAGCATGAATGACGGCCTTACAACGTCTTCCCATGGAGTGAACCAAGTTTTTTAGTTCTGCAGCTGTTATAATGTGAAATCAAGATTGAACGATTGCTTCTATTAACTGAGTTTTATTGCTGGGTCGTTTCTGATTAACAAGTTTCCTTAGTTGGCTCCATAGATTTTCAATTGGGCTATTCCCAGGCCATTCCAGGAGTGGAATATAATTATCTTGAAACTCCCCCCCCCCAAAAAGTGGTGTTATTAGCTATCAAACCTCAAAAATACACTTTTCCCAAAAGGTTTCCACAATTTTGGCCACTACTGTATTCTCAGCCTATATACTATAGCAATAGCAACAGCCTTAGATTTATATACCGTTCCATTGTCATTTAGAGCACTCTCTGAGCGTTTACAAATGTCAACATATTGCCCCCAACAATCTGGGTCCTCATTTTACTGACCTCCAAAGGATGGAAGGCTAAGTCAACCTTGAGCCTGTCAGGATTGAACTCCTGCAGGTAGGCACAGTTAGCCTGCAATACTGCATTCTAACCACTGTGACACCTGTGCTCCTATATACTATAGAAATCAAATCAAATCCATCAATAAAAAGATAACCCACTCACTTTGGATCTCAACTATCCCACTTGTTGGTGAGCTTGCTTTTTATCACTATGGGTAAAACAAACTCAAACCAAGATACTTTTCTTCACTATTATTTTCTGTGGTTCTTCACACTTCTGTCTAATTGCTGCCTTTGACAACTGTCTTCTGGTCTAGTTAGGGCTTAACCAAAGTTGCTTCTGATGGTGACTAACATTGGCCATGGAAAGATGCAGGAAATCTCTATGACAAACATACATTTAGGACATTCTGCATAGAACGTATAAGCTCAGTCTCTGTTTTCTCTTCTGGAAAGGAAGGATTTTAATGGCCGCTTTTCAGTGCCAAAAAAATGCGCCAAACAATGTTTTGGAACTATATTTCTATTCATTGTTTAAAACAGATATACAATTGCAATTTTGGAGGAGTAATTTGGAAGCCAAAGCAAGCAGCTGGCAGCTAAAAACAGTCCTGTGTACTCATTTGTAATGCTTTCTGTTTGTAATTCTATCTGAAATCACAGACTGCATTGGAAGAAGGCTGACAAGCATCATTGGGATTGGATCAGGCCTTTGAACCACTATATCGCCTGTAAAAACAAAGGCAATCGTCATGTTGATGATTAAAGCACCTATCTACACTGGAAATGTGCCATGGACTTCAGTTAGATATAGATTTACAACACAAACCTGTGTTTCTTTAATATATTGTTTTGAACTTTTCTGTTAAAAGACATCAACTAGTGAGTAAATCTGAAACAGCTTATAAGTAACATTTTTATCAAAGAACTAAAGCTCTTTCCAAAAAAACAAAAATCACCTCCAAATTTATGAGGGTTTAGATATGCCCATAGAGTGCAAATCTGTGTTTATGTAACATATTTTTTAAATGTTTCTATAAAAAGAGCCTTGGTGGCGCAGCAGACTAAAGCGCTGTTAAGTAACACCAGCTGCCTGCAATTACTGCAAGTTCAAAACTCACCAGGCTCAAGGTTGACTCAGCCTTCCATCCTTTCGAGGTAGGTAAAATGAAGAGCCGGATTGTGGGGGCAATAAGCTGACTTTGTATAAAAAAGAACACCGCTTGGGGGGGGGCGAAAGCCCTACTAAGCAGGTATATACAAAAGTATGAAGGCTATTGCTTAACACATTGTAAGCCGCCCTGAGTCTCCGGAAAAGGGCGGCATATAAATCGAACCAATAAATAAATAAATAAATAAATGAATAAATGAATAAATGAATGAATGAATGAATAATAAATAAATAAATAAATAAATAAATAAATAAATAAATAAATAAATAAACTACTGTGTTCCCCAAAAATAAGACCCTGTCTTATATTAACCCCAAAATAAGCGCTTGGCCTTATTTTTGGGGAGGTTTTATTATTTAGGGGGTGTGGAGCAAGATGCAGCTCCTCTTGCCATCTTACCGGATTTCCAGCTCTGCATTTAAATATTTTTGGGGAGGGCTTATTTTAGGGGGGAGGCTTATTTTAGTGCATGCTCTCAAAAGTCCGATTGGCTTATTATCAGGGGATGTCTTATTTTCGGGAAACAAGGTAGTGAGTAAACCTAAAACAGCTTATAAGTAAAAATTTTTATGACAGATCTAAAGGCTATTCTGGGGGGAAAGAAACCCCTATGAGGGTTTAGATCACAGGTGGGATTCACTTACCTTCCCTACCGGTTTACAAATGTGAGCGCGCGGGCCTCTGCCCATGCACACAGCCTTCCGCGCATGCACAGTGCTCACGCACTATGTCCGGTGAGTGGGTGGAGCCTCCCGCAATCGCTGCTACTGGTTCACCTGAAATGGACAGAATTGGCCTAATTCCACCTCTGACTTAGATATAAACATACAGTGCTGTGAGAAGAAAAACTAATTATTTATTCTCTGGTGATAGAAAAGGAGTTCTGTGAATATGAAGTTTTTAGAAGCTCGGACCACCATTACGGATACTACAGAGGATTTAGTGACGAGCAATGGATTTAGATGAATCCTGGATGTGAATTTAAACAGATGTTCATTTGGTTAACATAGCTTACCATGATAGGGTGTGGAAAGTAAACTTCAAAAGTTATGATTTTAACCTATTCATTAGATAGATGTCTATATATGATCAGGAGCGGGATTCAAAATCTGTTGCTACTGATTTGTTCGTGGGCGCGTGTGGATGCGCGTGATGCTTCTGCACATGTGCAGAAGCTTCCGGAGGGTGAGCGGAGCGTCCCACCGCTGCTGCTACCGGTTTGCCCAATCCAGGGCGAACTGGTAGCAACCCACCACTGTATATGATGCTAAAATTTGAATTCCTCCATTAAACAAGGAACAGGATTTACTGGCATAAAAATCCATGATGTTGCTGAACTTCTATGTGTAATATCGAGTAGCTTAGTGAAGGAGTAAAGAAGGAAGGAAGGAAGGAAGAAGTCAAGTTATCTCACATTAAAGTGTAATCCTCATCTGTGGGCCAGTCCAAAGAACTGTGATTCTGGTAAAAAGAATGGAAGGGAGTGCTTTGTAATTGTTGCTCTTGAAGGAAAGGTAAGATTTATTTATTTATTTGGGTTATATGCCACTCCAATCACAGCCGTCCCTGAACAGCTTACACCTTACTACATCCAGATAGTATTAGGATTAACCACAAAACCCAAATGCATATAATCTTGCTGGCGTGTTAATTTTATATGTGTCCAAAGGGTTTGGAGAGGTTATAGATGTTTAGGACACCTACTATTACTGTTCCAAAAATGGCATATATCCTTAGAATGCTACAAGTCTTTCTTTGTTATATATATCATTTGGTGGTTCATTGCATGCTGGGGATGAGGAAAATTAGATGGTGGGGTCATGCAGTGCTTTTCATTTATGATCCTGAAAATAGATGCGGATATTTTAATCAGATTGACATTGGTGGATCTCCTTTAAGTTCTGAAACAGTGCATAACCTTGACATACTGTATAGTTGGCCCCAACCCTGCTGGTTGATCTGTCCCCGTCCACACACACACACAAACACAGCCAGCCGAGGGTTAAGAAAGTACTTGGCACGCACACAGGTCGTTATCTCAAACTTGGCAGCAATATAATCACCGTCTGCCAAGAGCTTTTACTGCAACAGATAACATAAAATTACATACGCATTGCAAATAGTCCAGCAAAACAATATCCCTTTCGGCAGCTTCAGACGTTGTTCAAGTGACTAGCCAAAGTTAGTTTTTGTTCGTCACGGAGTTTTACCAGCCACCACCCTCTCTTATATAGTCTCTGGGGTGTGGTCCAGTGACTCAGTTCTAATCCCTAGCACGCCTCCTTAACTGCTGCAACCATTTATCATGCCTTCGTTGGCGTGCATCCAGGAATGACGGCTCTCCTTCGTTCTCATCCGAGACACCTGGCTCCTGGCTAATCTCCTCTCCCTCGGCCGGCACCTGAGACAGTGCCAGAGGGGAGGGGCCTGGAGAGGGAGGCCTGGCTGACTCGTCTTCCTCATGTTCGGAACTTTCTTCCTCCGATGAAATAGGCTCAGAGGGCGGGGCCACAACACTGGCATTTATAAAGACTGCCAACACTATTCTTCTATTCCCAGACCTTTGAATTATGGTATGCTGGAACCCTAGTTGAATGATAATATTACTGCTGTTTGGATTGTCATTTTATTTATTTTTTTATTATTGTTTGTAGATATAGAGTGGTGCGGCGGCCTAGAGGTGGAGCTCTTGCCTCACAATCAGGAGGCTGTGAGTTTGATCCTAGGTAGAGGCAGATATTTCTCTCTCTGGGCACAGTGAGAATATATCTGCTGAACAAAGCTCCACATTGGTGACAGGAAGAGCATCCGTCCATTAAACGCTCTGCTAGTTCCATTCTGTTGCCCAGACTCCACCCAGCAAGGGGTCTGGGGTCCTTAAATGATGATGATGATTATTGTTTGTAGATATGCATATATGATTTGTTGTTGTTAGTTGCGAAGTCGTGTCCGACCCATCGCCACCCCATGGACAACGTTCCTCCAGGCCTTCCTGTCCTCTACCATCCTCTGGAGTCCATTTAAGCTCACACCGACTGCTTTGTGACTCTATCCATCCATCTTATCTCTGCTGTCCCCTTCTTCTTTTGCCTCAATAGTTCCCAGCAGCATTAGGCTCTTCTCCAGTGAGTCCTTCCTTCTCATTAGGTGGTCAAAATATTTGAGTTTCCTCTTCAGGATCTGTACTTCTGAAGAGCAGTCAGGTTTGATCTCCTCTAGGACTGACCGGTTTTGATCGCCTTGCAGTCCAAAGGACTCGCAGGAGTCTTCTCCAGCACCATAGTTCAAAGGCCTCCATTATCAAAGGCATATATATCATATTTGCCTTTGATAATTGAGGCCTTTGAACTATGTGCTGGAAAGACTCATGCGAGTCTTTGACTGCAAGGCGATCAAACCGTCAGTCCTAGAGGAGATCAACCCTGACTGCTCTTCAGAAGTAACAGATCCTGAAGAGGAAACTCAAATATTTTGACCACCTAATGAAGAGGAAGGACTCACTGGAGAAGAGCCTAATGCTGGGAACTATTGAGGGCAAAAGAAGAAGGGGACAGCAGAGAATAAGTGATGGATAGAGTCACCAAAGCATCGGTGTGAGCTTAAATGGACTCCAGAGGATGGTAGAGGACAGGAAGGCCTGGAGGAACGTTGTCCATGGGTGGCGATGGGTCGGACACGACTTCGCAACTAACACAACAAATCATATATGCATATCTACAAACAATAATCATCATCATCATTTAAGGACCCCAGAACCCCTTGCTGGGTGGAGTCTGGGCAACAGAATGGAACTAGCAGAGCGTTTAATGGACGGATGCTCTTCCTGTCACCAATGTGGAGCTTTGTTCAGCAGATATATTCTCACTGTGCCCAGAGAGAGAAATATCTGCCTCTACCTAGGATCAAACTCACAGCCTCCTGATTGTGAGGCAAGAGCTCCACCTCTAGGCCGCCGCACCACTCTATATCTACAAACAATAATAAAAAAATAAATAAAATGACAATCCAAACAGCAGTAATATTATCATTCAACTAGGTTCCAGCATACCATAATTCAAAGGTCTGGAATAGAAGAATAGTGTTGGCAGTCTTTATAAATGCCAGTGTTGTGGCCCCGCCCTCTGAGCCTATTTCATCGGAGAAAAAGTTCCGAACATGAGGAAGACGAGTCAGCCAGGCCTCCCTCTCCAGGCCCCCTCCCCTCTGGCACTGTCTCAGGTGCCGGCCGAGGGAGAGGAGATTAGCCAGGAGCCAGGTGTCTCGGATGAGAACGAAGGAGAGCCGTCATTCCTGGATGCACGCCAACGAAGGCATGATAAAATGTTGCAGCAGTTAAGGAGGCGTGCTAGGGATTAGAACTGAGTCACTGGACCACACCCCAGAGACTATATAAGAGAGGGTGGTGGCTGGTAAAACTCCGTGACGAACAAAAACTAACTTTGGCTAGTCACTTGAACAACGTCTGAAGCTGCCGAAAGGATATTGTTTTGCTGGACTATTTGCAATGCGTATGTAATTTTTATGTTATCTGTTGCAGTAAAAGCTCTTGCAGACGGTGATTATATTGCTGCCAAGTTTGAGATAACGACCTGTGTGCGTGCCAAGTACTTTTCTTAACCCTCGGCTGGCTGTGTTTGTGTGTGTGTGTGGACGGGGACAGATCAACCAGCAGGGTTGGGGCCAACTATACAGTATGTCAAGGTTATGCACTGTTTCAGAACTTAAAGGAGATCCACCAATGTCAATCTGATTAAAATATCCGCATCTATTTTCAGGATCATAAATGAAAAGCACTGCATGACCCCACCATCTAATTTTCCTCATCCCCAGCATGCAATGAACCACCAAATGATATATATAACAATAGAAAGACTTGTAGCATTCTAAGGATATATGCCATTTTTGGAACAGTAATAGTAGGTGTCCTAAACATCTATAACCTCTCCAAACCCCTTTGACACATATAAAATTAACACGCCAGCAAGATTATATGCATTTGGGTTTTGTGGTTAATCCTAATACTATCTGGATGTAGTAAGGTGTAAGCTGTTCAGGGACGGCTGTGATTGGAGTGGCATATAACCCAAATAAATAAATAAATCTTACCTTTCCTTCAAGAGCAACAATTACAAAGCACTCCCTTCCATTCTTTTTACCAGAATCACAGTTCTTTGGACTGGCCCCACAGATGAGGATTACACTTTAATGTGAGATAACTTGACTTCTTCCTTCCTTGCTTGCTTCTTTACTCCTTCACTAAGCTACTCGATAGTACACATAGAAGTTCAGCAACATCATGGATTTTTATGCCAGTAAATCCTGTTCCTTTTAATGGAGGAATTCAAATTTTAGCATCATATACAGTGGTGGGTTGCTACCAGTTCGCCCTGGATTGGGCAAACCGGTAGCAGCAGCGGTGGGACGCTCCGCTCACCCTCCCGGAAGCTTCTGCACATGTGCAGAAGCATCACGTGCATCCACGCGCGCCCACGAGCAAATCAGTAGCAACAGATTTTGAATCCCGCTCCTGATCATATATAGACATCTATCTAATGAATAGGTTAAAATCATAACTTTTGAAGTTTACTTTCCACACCCTATCATGGTAAGCTATGTTAACCAAATGAACATCTGTTTAAATTCACATCCAGGATTCATCTAAATCCATTGCTCGTCACTAAATCCTCTGTAGTATCCGTAATGGTGGTCCGAGCTTCTAAAAACTTCATATTCACAGAACTCCTTTTCTATCACCAGAGAATAAATAATTAGTTTTTCTTCTCACAGCACTGTATGTGTATATCTAAATCAGAGGTGGATTAGGCCAATTCTGTCCATTTCGGGTGAACCAGTAGCAGCGATTGCGGGGGGCTCCACCCACCCGGGAATTCTGGGAGTTGAAGTCCACACGTCTTAAAGGGGCCAAGCTTCGATACCCCTGCTTTAAAGCCATAATCTAAACCTTTTAAATCAATTACAACTTACAACTTTTCATTTTGTGATTGTCTGAAGTTAAGACAGCACTGAAAAAAGTGACTTATGACCGTTTTTCACACTTACGACCATTGCCGCATCCGCACGGTCATGTGATCAAAGATAGGGCCCTTGGCCACTGACTCGTATTTATGACAGTTGCCCTGTCCCAGGGCTCACCTGATGCCCTTTGGGGACCTCCTGACCAGCAGAGTCAAATGGGGGAAGCCAGATGTTCACTTCACAACCATCTTTAACAACTGCGGTGATTCATTGAACAACTCCGGCAAGGAAGGTCGTAAAACGGGGCGAAGCTCACTTAGCAACTGTCTGGCTTAGCCATCGCTTAGCAATTGTGGTCGTAAATCGAGCACTACCTGTGTAAAAGCTCTTAAAATAGATCCTGTGTGGAGGCTGATCATTTTAAGAAGAGACCAGGCAGCCACTAGTCTGAAATGGCATAGGTTTTATTTATTTATTTATTGGTTCGATTTATATGCCACTTTATATGCTATTTATTTATATGCTATTTAAGCAATAGCCCTCATACTTTTGTATATACCTGCTTAGTAGGGCTTTTGGCCCCCTCAAGCGGTGTTCTTTTTTTTATACAAAGTCAGCTTATTGCCCCCACAATCCGGGTCCTCATTTTACCTACCTCGGAAGGATGGAAGGCTGAGTCAACCTGGTTGTCCTGCTTGAGCAGGGGGCTGGACTAGAAGACCTCCCAGGTCCCTTCCAGATTCTATTCTATTCTATTCTATTCTATTCTATTCTATTCTATTCTATTCTATTCTATTCTATTCTATTCTATTCTCTCTTCCATTATTTCTATTTCTATTATTATTCCTATTATTTCTATTTCTATTATTCCTATTATTTCTATTTCTCTTACTTCTATTTCTGAGCATCAAAAGCAGCTGGCGTGAGCTTCAGACAAAGGCTGAGTTTGGAACAGCTAGGATTGCACTATGAAAAAGTTGGGTGGGGGAGAGGGTCTCCCAGCACAAGGGAGGCACCAAGCCCAATTCCCCAGCCTGCCCAAACTTCCCTGGGCCTTAGGGCCTTGATGGCGAGGGCTCTCTTGGGGAGCAGATCTCTGTAGGAGAGATCTTGTGCCTACCCAGTGCCAAATGGCTTTCCTGGTTGGGGCTGTGGGAGGTTGTGTGGAGGGGGGGAGGCTGATTCCCTGGGGGGGGGCACCTATTTTGACTCTCCCCAGCACCCGGGGTATTTAACATACACAGGCTATCCTGCCTTCTCCCGCACCTCCCTGGATTTGCAGAACACGAGATGCAGGAGAAAAAGGGGAAGGGTCTGGAGGGGGGCCCACCTCCCCGCAGGGAACTGAACCTCTCGTTCTGTGCCCCCCCCACCAATCTCTGTTTGCAGCCATCATTATCGTCTTTGATTTGAATGACGTGGCATCGCTGGACCACACGAGGTAAGCAGCTGGCATGAGGGAGAAGCACCGAAAACCTTCTAAGTTGGCAGAAAGATGGATCCGATTGGATCAGCCCTCCTTCCCTTCCCTCCCTCCCTCTTGCTCCTCCCTCCCTCCCTGTTTCCTTCCTTCCTTCCTTCCTTCCTTCCTTCCTTCCTTCCTTCCTTCCTTCCCTCCCTCCCTCCCTCCCTCCCTCCCTTCTTCTTTCCTTTCCTTCCTTCCCTCTTTCCTTCCTTTCCTTCCTTCCCTCCTTCCTTCCTTCCTTCCTTCCCTCCCTCCCTTCTTCCTTCCTTTCCTCCCTTCCCTCTTTCCTTCCTTTCCTTCCTTCCCTCCTTCCTTCCTTTCCTTCCCTCCCTCCCTCCTTCCTTCCTTCCTTTCCTTCCTTCCCTCTTTCCTTCCTTTCCTCTCCCTCCCTCCCTCCTTCCTTCCTTCCTCCCTCCCTCCCTCCCTCCCTCCTTCCTTCCTTCCTTCCTTCCTTCCTTCCTTGAGATCCCAGGGCTTCTGTTAGACTGGGAAGTCCAAAGGATTCCAGATGTTTTTCCAGGCAATCCGCTGATGCCTGCAAAAACCCTCAATTTGGGGGAGAGGGGATGCCCCCCAATTCGTCTGATCCAGCCAAATTCCTCCAGAGTTTGGGGGAAATGTCACCTTTCAAGGGGTGTTTCTGGAACCGGCCTGCTGGGGGGAGGGGGTTGTCTCCCAGTTGAGAAAACCTCCCCCTCCCCCCCAAATGGGCCCTTTAGAAAGGCAGCCCAGCAGTTCCCAACTCAGAGAAATGGGGGGGGGGGAAGCAGGAGGGGCTTCGGGGTGACGTTGCCCCCTCCCTTTGCAGGCAGTGGCTGGCCGATGCCCTGAAGGAGAATGACCCGTCCAGCGTCCTCCTCTTCCTGCTGGGCACTAAGAAGGACCTCAGCGTGAGTTGGGGGGGGCAGGAGGGGAGGGAAGGAGAGGGGAGGGGGAGACGGTTGGGAGATGCCTGGGTAGCCGAGGGGGCCGGACAGCCCTTCTTCGCTTCGGATTACGACCATGAATTTTAGTCCTGCCTTAGATAGGAGACTTTGGGCCAGTTGCTCTTCCTCAGCCCGGTCTACCTTGCAGGGTTGTTGTTTCATGCAAAATAGGAGGAGGATTAGATAGGTTCGCTGCTTTGAGTTATTGTAAAAATAATACGGGCAGGGTATAAAAATAAATAAAAATTAATCCAACAGACGTCAGGAACTGGCATGGGATTGTGTGACACTTATTTAGGCTGCTTTATAAAGCCAGCATTTCCTAATCGGGGGATTTCCCAGGTGCGTCTTCTGGATCCCAGAATTCCCAGCCAGACGGGAGTTCTGGGAAGTGAAGTCCACATGGCTGGTGGGCACCAAAGCTACGGAGGGGGTGGGCACTGCAGCAGGACCAGGTCAGGGGTGGGCAACGATGGAGTTGAAGTGCACAGGGCATCCAGTTGCCATCACTGCCCACCCGTGGCCCAGGTGATACGCTCCCATGTTTCACACCTCGGGTGCCCCCCTCGGCCTTCCTCTTTCTCCACAGACACCTGCGCAGTACAACCTTATAGAGCGGGACGCCCGGAAGGTGGCGAAGGAGATGCAGGCTGAATACTGGGCCGTCTCCTCCCTCACAGGTAAGCCTCTGTCAGGCAGTGGGTGGGTGGGTGGGGGAGTCCAAGCTGCCCACTCTGACCTTGGGTCTCTCTTTCCCATCCAGGTGAGAACGTGCGGGAATTTTTCTTCCGTCTGGCCGCCCTCACCTTCGAAGGCAGCGTGCTGGCGGAGCTGGAGAAGAGCCAGGCACGCCGGATTGGGGACGTTGTGCGTAAGTAGACCCCCAACCCCTTACCCTGGGCTGGGGGAGACTGGAGGGTCCCGGGTTGGGGGCTGTAACCGACTGTGGGCTAAAAATAGTTGAAACGGCAGCTGGGACGATGCGATGGAAGTTTCAGGCCTGTTGTTGATCGGTTCAGTGCCTATGAATTTGGTATTTTGAAACCCTTTTTATAAGCTGGCTGGAGTTGGTTGATCGGTGAGATGGGAGGCATATAAATTTAATAAATAAATAAATAACAGCTGGAACTGGAACTTCAATTGTAATCATTGTGGCTGCCATCGCATCATTTCTTTAAACACACACATGGAGGCCTTGGGGAGCGTGACTCTGTCCCGTTGGGTTTGTGGTCAGCCCCCATTTTATTTTTATTTTATTTTTTTATGTTATATCAAATTTATATACCGCCCTTCTCCCCGAGGACTCAGGGCGGTGTACAGCCAAATAAAAACATAGACTACAAACATTAAAATACTATTAAAAAGATATATATAAATTTGGCCCCGTAATTAAAAAACAATGACAAACCAATTAAAAACATTTAAAAGTGTTAAGCCAGCCCAGTTTGCTGAAAAAAGAAAGTTTTAAGGGCATGGTGGAAGGCACCCATCATCCACTGGTCTCCTCATAAGGTCTAGAAACTTAGCATTAAAAACCAAAGCCTGTTTTTTCCGGAGCTGAGATGACCAGCAGGGGGGTTAAAAGCATTTTAGCAAAATAGTTAAATGAACTCCCAACTGGAGTAAATTTAAACTATCATGGGGGGGGGGGAGGGCAGAATGAAGGGCCAATGAGGCAACCAGACCTGAAGGTAAAACGTTCATTATCAGCCCTAGAGAGAGTTTTCAGTGGCTCTTTGCTGCCCTCTGGTGGTGATGTGGAATTGGGCCGCCCAGACCTCGGCTGCAATTGTGATGGGTTCAAACCCAGCCATGGTCTACAGAGAGCAAAAAAAAAAAAAAAACCCTCCTCATTTCCACAGGTCCCCTCCCCATAGCACAAAGCAATGCTTCTCCCCCACCCATAAGTGAGACACCACCAGTCATTCTCCACTTTTAAAGGATCTCCCCTTCACTTTGTGACCGTCAGGTAGACAAGCCGGCCTAGACCTGTGATGCTACCTTGGGGGGTTGGGGGTTGGGGAGGGGCTGGTGGGACAGGGAAGAGGGGCAGGTCAGATTGGATGGCACTAGGGAGACCCTAATTCAAGACCCCCTCAGTATCAGAAGCCCAGTGAGGGGTTATGTGTCAGTCCGCCTCTCTTGGCCTGGCCTACCCTGCAGGATGGTTGTACGGGGAGAAACAGGGGAGGGAGGGCTGTGCATTTGGAACTCCTAAGGAATGCAAAGGCCCCTGGGTTGTTATGGGGTGGGGCTCTCTGCCAGCCCACCGGAGACCCCCGTGGGTCCTCGCCTGCTTGTGCCCTCCTCCTACTGCCTCTAGGGCAGAGGAGGGATGGCAGGGGGGCTGCCGGATATCAACCTACGACTCTGCTCCTTTTGCAGGGATTCATGGGGACGAGCGAGACTTGTACGCGACAGAGAAGAGGAAGAGGACCAAATGCTGCGCGTGACGAAGCCCCCCCTGAACAGCCCCCTCCCCCCCGGCATTTGCACTGGACTCTTTTCTAGACCAAAGGAAGACCCCTCCTCATTTCTGACACAGGGGAAGCAGCCACCTTCCCCCCAACTCTCTGACAGTGCCAAACCAAAGAGTAGAATGAAGATGTCCAAACTTTTAAGACTTGTGGACTTCAATTCCCAGAATTCCCCAGCCAGCACAGAATTGTGGGAGTCGAAGTCCACATGCCTTCCAGATGGCTGTGGCATTGTGGGAGTTGAGGTCCAGAAGTCTTGAACTTGGCTGGGGAATTCTGGGAGTTGAAGTTTGCAAGTCTTAAAGTTGCCAGGCTCAGACGCCTCTGTTGTAGAGCATCTCCTCCTGAACACTTCCTGGCTTCAGGCTCACCTCTGCCTTCCCTCACCTGGGCTGAGCATGCTCACCTTTGAGGACCCCACCCCCAAGTGGCAGCTGAAGCCCCCAGGCTTGCTCGGACTGTGCCGGCCACTTCCTGCTGACCGAAGAAGAAACACTTTTTGTCTACGGAGATTCTCAAAACACCTCGGTCGCTTTTCTGTACCTGGCTGCAGCCTTTTTGTGTGTCTCGGGCTGGGCTGGTGGGGGGGGGGCAGGCCTGGGTGGGCACCCCACCGAGCCGTCCGGGAGGGGCGGGGGACAAAGGGGGGGGGGGGGGGTGTCTCGAAAAGGAAGACGGAGGGAGCTTTTCATTACCACCGGTGGTCAAGGGGAAAGTTTGTTTTATCCTGCTTGGACCCTGGGTGCCCTTCGGGGGCCTGGATGGGACCCCACCCATGGCTTGGCTGGCTGGCTGGGAAATGGATCCCCCCACAATCTGGAGGGTGTTGTCCTTCCCCTCCCCCCCCCAGTGGGCTAAAAGATAGTTGCTCACTAAAACCTGGAATGCTGAAAGGGTCCCAGCTGCCTTTGGCTCAGCGAGGGAGGGGGGGAGGGGGCAGGAGCGACACCCCTTCCCACTCCTCAGAGGGCACAATTTCTCCCCCCCCCCATGAGAATTGCAGTGAGTGTCAGGGGATCCCTAATTGCACCTCCTTTTCCTGCGATTCTGCCGTGGGTCCTGCCAAGGGCAATGCAGCACCAACGTAGGCAGCAGAGTCACTGGGTGGGGGGAGAGAGGGGAGAAGTCCAGGCCAAGGGGCAGGAAGTCCCCCCCCCAGCAAAGGGGTGGATTGCAGCAGAAAAGGGGCTCTTCCCTCCCCTCCCTGGAGTTAGTTGTATTGCTGAAGAGAGAGAGAGACCCTCCTGGTGTGCCCCCCTGAATGCCCTGGGAGGCGTTTGGCACAGGGGTGCCAGTTCCAGGCAGGGGGTGTCTGCACAGAAAGGCCAGCTTGGGGGCAAACACCCCCCCCACAGGGGAAAAAAACTGCTTGCTAAAAGTCAAGGATCAGTTTGATGACCCACCAACCGATCCATACAGACAGTCCTCAACTTATGACCACAATCGACCCCCAAATTTCTATGGTTAAGCAAGACCGTTGTTAAGTGAGTTTTGCTGCTTCATTTTACGACCTGAGTTGCCAAAGCTGATAAGTGCGGTGTTTAAGAAAGAAATCTACAGCTATTGAATGAATAAACAATAAATAAATATTAAATAAGTAAGCATAAACAATAAAAGTTAGTAACACGTTAAGTGAATCTGACTTCACTATTGACTGCTTTTCAGGAAGTCGCAAAAGGGGATCATGTGGCCGTCATAAATATGAGTCAGTGGCCAAGCATCTGAATTTTGATCACGTGACTGGGATGCTATAACGGTCATAAGTGTGAAAAATGGCCATAAGTGCTGTCGTAACTTCAAACGTTCACTAAATGAATGATTATAAATCCAGGAGTCCTTTGCATATCTACATAAATTCATATGCACAGAACAGGATGGTGGGGGGTTTATTTGGAGGGGCCAGAGAAGCTGCTGGGTGGAGGGGTGAAGCCGTGGGGCTGCAGGAAGGGCCTCCGGGGTCCCAGGCTAAGCAGGGCTGCTGTGGGCCCCTGGTTCGGAGATGTGGCTCGGGGCCCTTTGCGGCTGCTCCTGGCTGGGGAGGCTCGTTCGGAAAGCTTGGAAGGAGTCCAGCTGGTGAGCGTTAAACTGGGGCATCAGGTGGGGGGCCACGCAGTGGGACCACTTGTAGTGGCGTTTCAGCCAGCGGCCGCCCTCACTGTCTTCAATGCAGATGGCAGCGATACCTGGAGGGGAGAGAGGGGGGGGGGGGGGAGGGGCAAAGCATCAGAGCTGGCTGGACGGTCAGCTCCTCCAAGGTCCGGCTTCATGACCCAAAGGCCAGTTGGCGACTTTCCCAGCAGGATGTAATTTAACAGAGTGACTGAGTTGGAAGGGACCTTAGAGGTCTTCTAGTCCAGCCCCCTGCTCAAGGAAGAGTTCTTACATCAGAAGGATTCAACATTGGAACTTTAAGACGGGTGGACTTCAACTCCCAGAATTCCCCAGCCAGCTGGCTGGGGAATTCTGGGAGTTGAAGTCCACCCGTCTTAAAGTTCCCAAGGCTGGACACTCTTACCCTATACCACCCCAGACAAATGGCTGTCCAGTCTCTTCTTAAAAACCTCCAGTCATGGAGCACCCACAACTTCTGGTGGCAGGTAGTTCCCCTGGTTAATTGCCTTCACTTTCAGGAAATTCCTCCTTAGTTCCAGGTTGCTTCTCTCCTTGGTTAGTTTCCATCCGTTGCTTCTTGTCCTTCCTTCCGGTGCTTTGGAGAACAGGTGGACCTCTTCTTTCTTTTGGAAGCCCCTCAAATATTGGAACTCTGCTCTCATGTCCCCCCCCCCCATCCTTCTCTTTATTAAGCTAAACAGACCCAAATCCTGCAGCCGTTCTTCGTATGTTTTAGCCTCCAGCCCACTAATCATCTCTGTTGTGCTGGTACCCAACCTGCAGCCTCGCTCTCCAACCTGGTGCCCACTGGGTGGGTCAGGAGGTTGAAAGCGAAGGTACTACTGGGAAGGTTGCAGAAAAACTGAATGGTGCCAGCCTGAGGTAGACTGTCTCTGAACATGGAGGTTGTACTGGGAGCCGCTGAAATGCATTTAAGAAGCCCTACTGGATTTCCCAGGGCTGTAGTCTCTAAGGTAGACTGCCATTGCACGTGGAGGCTTCGAAGACTAGCCCTCAGGCCTGGCACGGGGAGGAAATCCACCCTGGGTGCCCCTTCCTCTCCTTACCTGCCACCACACCGCCTTGCCGTTCCACCAGCTGGATGGCGCCCTGCATGGTGCCCCCCGTCTCTACCCACTGGTCTACCAACAGGACCCGGACACCTGGAGGAGGGGGCAGAACCAAGGTGGGTCTGGGGTCTTTCTCACCCAGAGAACCTGTCCTCCCCCACCAGCCCTTGAGGGAGGGGTCCTGGCAGGTGGAGGTGGAGTTTTCCAGGCCACTTTCTGTCTGAGTGCCCAGCAGCACTGGATGCCATCCCTGGGCAGATGCCCCCACCGACGATGCCCACCCCAGCTCGAGCAAAAGATGTCCACCCTTGGAAACTTAAGAGTTATGGGCTTCAACTCCCAGAATTGCTAGCAAAGGGGCACAGAATTGCATGGAATTGCGAGGAGGTGACATATAAATGTAATGGGTAATTAATCCCAAATCCTCTACCTGGGCCGATGGCGTCTGTGCGAGCTTCCATAACTTTCTCACGGTCCGTGTAGTCCCTGTAGGTCTGCGTGTGGGTCTCGACACAGAGGTGGCCAGCTTTCCGGATGGTCACAAAGCCTTTTCGGAGGGTGACGGCGATGGCGGCGCCTGGATGGGGGGGAAAGCATTTGGGGGTGGGGAGGGTCCTTCCTAAGAGAAGCCGCAGATCCTGGTCATTAGCCAGTTTTATCTTCAGTCCTTCCTAGAGTCATTACACGATGGATTAGAAGGATCTCAGAGGTCATCCAGTCTGACCTCCGAATCCAGGGAACCAGCCCTTGGCAGCTGATCAAACGGGCCCCACTTGGAAGCCTCTAGGGGGAATGGGGCCATGCCTTAAAGGTTGCTTTTCTCCCTGTTTTTATCCTGGCCATGACAACCCCGTGAGGAGGATGGAGCAAAGGGAGAGTCACTGGCCAGGGAGTGTGCTGGGTGGAGAAGGAGTAAACGTCCCCATGAGGGAGAATTCTTTCTGGCTCAGGGTTCAAACGAGGAGTCCTTGGGGCTCTCTGTGTCTCGTTGTTTTCTTGCAGACATTTCATGACCCAGCTAGGGAACATCATCAGTGCTAGAAGGGAGGGGGGTTTGCTCTCAGTTTATATTCTAGTGGCTTGCCCTGTCAATGGGTGTCTCCCCCTCCCCCCCACAGCTGAGCACTTGGGCGAGGGGGCTGAAAGAGAAGCAAGAGAGACCTACCCAGGACAAACCCCATGGCATCAATGCCAACCACTTGGTCGATGGCATCGTCCCGAAACGGTCGCACCAAATCTTCGACGCAGTCCTGCAAGGCCTGTGGGGAGGCAAGAGAAGGGGGCAGCTACGTGGGGGGGCAGACCCACAGAAAAACCATCCCGGGAGGCGTGTCTCCTTATTTATCAAGGGGCTGAGTTTCTGCTTTTGTCACTCAGGCCAGCTTCCGACATTTAAAGTTTAAAGTTTATCCCTCGGATAAACTGCAAGGAAAATATAAACCATGGAAGAGCTACAGGACTTGCAAAGGTTACGATGCCCGTGGGGGAGAATTAAGCCCATCCTGGTAACAAGGACGCCACCTTAACCCGCCTCCCTGCTACAAAGATGGCATAATGGATGATCTGAACACGCTGCCCTGTGAAACATTCTGAAGAGAACGGTAAGCTGGATAGCCTGGATAACTCAACAGACTAAGCACTGTAATTTAACACCAGCTGCCTGCAATTACTGCAGGTTCGAATCTTGCCAAGGCTCAAGGTTGACTCAGCCTTCCATCCTTTCTAAGGTAGGTGAAATGAGGACCCAGATTGTGGGGGCAGTAAGCTGACTTTGTATAAATATACAAAAGAATGAAGGCTGTTGCTTAATGCATTGTAAGCCGCCCTGAGTCTCCGGAGAAGGGCGGCATATAAATTAAATTAAAAAAAAAAAAAACTGGTCTTCAGATGCCAAAGGACGCCTGGAAGACACATTTTTCAACCTCAGCAAGTTTAAGAGGGGTGGACTTTGACTCCCAGGATTCCCCTGTTTTAAGATCAGTGAACTTTAATTCCCAGAATCCCCCAGCCAGGATGCTTTAAGAGGAATGATGGACTTAGGAATTCTGGGAGTTGAAGTCCACCCATCTTAAACTCATTGGAACCCTAGTTTGCAGTAAGTAGACTTAACTGCCCAGTTGGGCGGGAAGCGGATTCCTGGAGCTCCGAGGGAACCATTGTTTCTGGCTACATTCTCCCCCCACCCCACCTCACCCCCATTTCCCAAGCAATGGAGGGTTATTGGCAGTGGTGAAATCCAAATTTGTTTACTACCGGTTCTGTGAACGTGCTTAGTGGGCGTGGCAGGGGAAGGATACTGCAAAATCTCCATTCCCACCGCACTCGGGGGCCAGCCAGAGGTGGTATTTGCCGGTTCTCTGAATTGCTCAACATTTCTGCTACCGGTTCTCCAGAACCTGTCAGAATCTGCTGGATTTCACCCCTGGTTATTGGGCGCCCTCCCCCTGCACTTCATGCCCTTACAGCAGAGGTGGGTTTCAGCAGGTTCTGACCAGTTCTGGAGAACCGGTAGCAGAAATTTTGAGTAGTTCAGAGAACTGGTAGTAAAAATTCTGACTGGCCCCGCCCCCGTCTATTCTCTGCGTCCCGAGTCCCAGCTGATCGGGAGGAAATGGGATTTTGCAGTATCCTTCCCCTGCCACGCCCACCAAGCCACGCCCACAGAATTGGTAGTAAAAATATTTGAATCCCACCACTGCCTTACAGGTCAAGAGTGAAGATGCCCGTACTTGATGAAGCTGCTACAATCAGAGCAAAAGCATTCACCAAATTGGCAACCGGTTAATTCGGGCAAACTTCAGTGAGAGAGGGAGAACCCCAGAGAGAGTTCTTTCCAGCCCCAGATTGGGCGCCCTGGAAGACTTTGGCCCCCTGGAACCAGTTCAAACGGGGTGCGGGGTGGGGGGTGGATGGGCTAATAGGTTGACTACATTCCCCATTATCCCCACTCAGCCCAGCCTTATGGATCATAGGAAACTGGAGACTAAAACATACAAAGAACGGTTGCAGGAATTGGGGCTGTCTAGTTTAGTGAAAAGAAGGACTGGGGTAGCAGTCTTCCAATATTTGAGTGTTGGTACCGCTTTATAAGGCCTTGGTGAGGCCACACTTGGAATCCTGCATCCAGTTTTGGTCGCCATGATGTAAAAAAGATGTGGAGACCTTGGAAAGAGTGCAGAGAAGAGCAAGAAAGAGGATTAAGGGACTGGAGGCTCTAAAACACATGAAGAACGGTTGCAGGAAGTGGGAATGGCTAGAATCTAATGAAAAGAAGAAGTAGGGGAGACATGATAGCCGTCTTCTAATATCTAAGGGGCTGCCAGAAAGAAGAGGGGATCCACCTATTCCCCAAAGCACCAGAGGAGGAGGAGGAGGAGGAGGAGGAGGAGGAGGAGGAGGAGGAGGAGGAGGAGGAGGAGGATCCACATTTTGGTCACCACATTACAAAAAAGATTACGTTAAGATATTGGGAAACGTGCAGAGAAGAGCAACTAGGATGATTAAAGGCCTGGAGATTAAAACATATGAAGAGCGGAGGGAAGAAGTGGGTTTGGCCAGTCTAGAGAAAAGAAGGACTACAGGTGACATGACAGCATCTTCCAATGTTTGAGGGGCTGCCCCAAAGAAGAAGGGGGTCAATTTATTTTCCAAAGCACCACAAGGCAGGACAAGAAGCAACGGGTGGAAGCTAATCAAGGAGAGAAGCAACCTGGAATTAAGGAGAAACTTCCAAACAGTGAGGACAATTAACCAGTGGAACAGCTGGCCACCAGAAATCGTGGGCGCTCCATCACTGGAGGTTTTTTAAGAAGAGACTAGACAGTCACTTGTCTGAAATGGTATAGGTTCGTTTTGCCGCTTGAGCAGGGGGCTGGACTAGAAGACCTCCAAGGTTCCTCCCAGCTCTGTCATGACCAGAGCCCTTCGGGGAGGTATTGGAGTGCCAGGTGAGGCCTCCTTCCCCACCCCAATTATTCTGATGAAGCCCCATCAGGGACTTGGCTCCCCAGGAGACGGTGGCCCAGAGGCCTCCCCCACAGATTCTGGCTTGGCCCTCCCTCTTGGTTAACTCATTCCCAGGGCTAAATTTAGCCCCTTACACATGGCATTCTGCGAGAGCGTTTAAGTGGAGACACCTTAGACCCTGTTAATAATAGACATCAGGCAGTCACTCAACTCAGAGCAACAGAGGGGGCTGCCTTGCACACCCATCAGGCTCAGACCAATGAGTGCAGACAACCTCTTGGGTGGCACTGCCCAGGCTCATCCCCGGGAAGATCTAGGGGGGTGCAGAAGACCCCAAGAGAGAGAGAAGAAAGCCCTTTCCCTCCTTCAGTCCCCAGATGCCCCCTTCCTGCAGAGGTTTGACCCCCCCTCCTCATACCTGGGGGTGGCAGTAGAGACGAGAGGGGTCCAGCCAGGCGTAGGAGGGGCCCTTGATGTTGGGAGCCATCAGCTTCAAATACCAACCTTGCTCTCGGGAGGCTGGCACCGTCTTCAGGTCCATGGGCAGAGGCTCTGCTGCCAGCGGGTGGGGCTGGAGGGGGGGCACAGAGAGAGGCACTTCAGACTGGCTGGGCAGAACCAGTCCAGGCTGGAAAAAGTGGGGCGCAGCCAGGCAGGGCACTTAAAAATGCAATCTTGGTGGGAAGGTGGGGAGGGGTCAATAGGACTGGGGGGGAAAGGGTGAATGAGGATTGTTGAGGAAATGAGATTGTAAAAGAGGGAGCAGATTCACTAAATTAGAGGTGTCCAATCTTGGCAACTTTAAAACCTGTGGACTTCAACTCCCAGAGTTCCCCAACCAGAAGTCCACAGGTCTTAAAATTGCCAAGGTTGGACACCCACCCTGCATTAAATAATGCAAATGAAGCCGTTGTATGCAGGTGGAGACTAATTTGCTCCCCTGTGCCTTTCACAGGCTCTTTGCCCTGGCGACAAATTGCAACACCTCAACCTTTCCCAGCTAAATACATTCCAACAGGACACCTCCCGATTACAGGCAGTGCCCCAGGGACCCCCACAGGAGACCAAGGAAGTGGACTTTAATCTGAGCGGAGCTGGGCAGCAGTTGGCAGCCCCAGCACTCGGCCCCAAAAAAGCCATCTTAGCTGCAGACTCAAAGCTGCTTTTGTCCATTTGTCTATTTAGTGCCAGTTGGAAAACTTCCTGTCGTTTTCTGCCGTTTTCATCCCTGTTGAGCGGTGGGGGGTGGGCTTGGAGGGCTGCTGAAGGGCCCCCAGGGATTGCCTGATGAGCCTGAGCAGGGAAAGCTAAGCAGGATGGGATCCACTTATTCCCTGGGTCAAAGAATTCGCCCAGGAGGGTCTCTGTCCAAAGTCTCCAGGAGTCCAAAGTTTTGAGTGAAGTTTGGGTTCTGCCCCCTTCTTGAGCGACTGGTGATGTTAAATATTGTAATATGAATATGATATATGAACATAAATATAAATACGATGGTGTTAAATAGACAGCTGTAAATGAGACCCAATTTGCATTTAAAACAGAATTTTTCAGCCTGAGTTAACTCCGCGGTGAGACGGGCAGCCAATAAACACGATAAATCAATGAATGCATTTAATACGCGGGAGGGGGCCTGTCTTCGGCGGGAGGGTCTCTGCGTTCCCAGCAGGAGGGAGACCCCCTCCCGGTGCTCTGAAGACCAAGTCCTAGGAGCGAATTCGGGCAGGCAGATTTTTCTCCCGGGTGGGGAACCTCCCCTTGGGGTCTCCTGCAGCCAGCGCCCCCTCCCCGCGCTCACCTTTGGGGAAAGTGCCGCTCCCGAGCGCTCAGGTGCTGGGCCAGCAGGTGCGGATCGGGACTTCTCTGCAAAGCCCCCCGCCCAGCCCCCGAAGTGGCCCCTACCTGGCCGAGGGGCGGCTGCCGGAGACCCCCTGCGAGTCCAAGGACGGGGGACCCCTTGGGGACTGGCTTCCTTCGTGACCCCGGCCAGAAAATGCAGGGAGCGGCCGCTGTGGCCGCTGCACTGTGGGGCTGGGAAGGGGGCGGGAAGAGCGGCGGGGCTGGCAGTGCCCGGCGGTGGCTGGCAGAGGCAGCGGGCGAGGGGGGCATCCCGGGGGCCAGCGGAAGCCGGGAGCGGGTGTGGGCGGGCGGGAAGGCAGTCCGGGGAGAGGGGCTTCTCCCCAATCGGGGCGAAAGGAGGGGGCAAAAGGCTGGAGGTTGGACAGCGGGGAGGGGGTCCAAAAGCTCAAGATAGGGGCCAGGGTGGCAGGACGGGTGCAATGCATGTCAGAAGCAGGGCTGTGCGGCCGCCATCTTGACTTTTTTGACCGTGTCTGGAATCTCTGGTGTGTCGAAAGGGAGAGGAGACCTTAAAAGAAGAGGTTCAGCCTGCAAATTGGGAGGAATTTCTTGACCAAGGTGGGGGGACCCCGGCGCAGGAAAGCCTGAAGGTCCACGGGGGGGAGGGAAACCCTCCTTGCGGGGAGGGGGCAAATCTGTCCTGCGTGGTCGCCGAGAGTCTCAATCAACCGATCAGCCGATGAGTCAATTCCCCCTCGCGGGAGGTTTCTAAGGGGGGGGGTTGGAGGTCTCCCTGCCAGAATGAGGGAGGGGAGTCCTGCACGGTGCAGGAGGCTGGACTAGATGCCCTCAAACTTCCCCGACCCCGCACGCGGAGCCTTTGAAGCTGTGCTCGCCTACTGAAGGCGTTAGCGGCAGGAAGGCTGCAGTACACCGCTTTGGCCAGGAGGTGGCAGCAACAACTGCCTCTTTCCCGTTTCTCAACCTTGGAGGCTTTAAGACGGTGGACTTCAACTCCCAGAATTCCCCGGCCAGATGTTTTAGGGCAGAATTATCCAGACGCTTCTGCTCGGCCCCTGAGACATCTGGGAGGAGGAGAGGAAGGAGGGACGTGAAGGGGCTGCTGGTGCTTTGGAAACCCCCCCTGCCTTCCCCAAGGCTGGGCTCCACTTATCTCCCCCCCCCCCATTAATAAAAACATTCAGGTTTCAGGTTGTCCTCCGCTTACAACTGCCACTAAGCCCAACATTTCTGTTGTTAAGATCTGTTGCCAATTCTTAAGTGAGTTTTGCCCCATTTTATGACCTTTCTTTCCACTGTTGTTAAGTGAGTCCTTGCAGTTCTGTGGGTTGTGGGAATCCAGCCACCACTCCTCCTCCTCCTCCCTTGTAGCACTGATGGCGTTACCTAGTTGGGTCATGAAACATCTGCAAGAAAGCCACCAGGCTCAGAGAGCACCCAGGACCCCACAGTCTTCCTCTTCTTCCTCCTCCACCCCACAAACCCTGTTTCCTTCTAGCACTGATGACACCACCTAGTTAGGTAATGAAACGTCTGCAAGGAAACAGCCAGGCTCAGGGACCACCAAGGAGCCTGCGGTCTTCCTCCTCCTGCCCCCTCCCCTTCCTCTCCTCCTCTCCAGAAACTCCCCTCCCTTCTAGCACTGATGCAGTTCCCTAGTTGGGTCATGAAACATCTGCAAGGAAACGACCACGCTCAGAGAGCCCCAAGAACCCCTCCTCTTCTTCCTCCTCCTCTTCCTCCCCTGGAATCCCCCCCCACTCTTTTAGCACTGATGAAGTTACCTAGTTGGGTCATGAAACATCTGCAAGGAAACGACCACGCTCAGAGAGCCCCAAGCGCTCCGTAGTTCAGTCCTGAGCTGCAAACCTTCCCTTCTCTTGGAACATCTTCCTGTTGCGTTGGATGCCAGGCTCATGTTTGTTGATCCGAGAATTCTTGTAAGACGCCAGCCGATCCCCTGGCTTGGTTTCATCTACAGATCCTAAAACGCCTTGAGTTCCATTGCCCTCATTTCAAAAGCAGTTGAATATCGCTTGTCTCGGCCCCAAACCCTGGAGAATAAAGCCCAGAGATGTCCAAGCCAAGCAATCCAGCTATTGTGCCTGACCCTGCTGGCTCCGTTCCAGAGCAGCGGCTGCATTCCCACAACCCACAGACCCTCCTTGTTCTTCCCAACCTTGCTCCAGCTAAAATCTGGTGAAAATCCACCCCTCCAGAGGGCATTCTGCGTAGCTGAGTTTGCCTGGAAGAAAGGGCTCTGTGGGCAAATCCGTGAGTTATCTCTCTGCGCCTCCTCTGCTTCCTCCTCAAGTGTCTTTCCTCATTTATTGGGGTCCCAGGGAGAAAGTTTAAAACAGGGCTCTCCAAACTTAGCAACTTTTAAGACTTATGGACATCTCAGAATTCCCCAGACACCTATGAAGGGAGGGGAGTTTGTATAGGGGAGGAGGAGGAGGAGGAGGAGGAGGAAGACTGCGGGGTCCTTGGTGCTCTCTGAGCTTGGTAGATTTCTTGCAGACATTTCATTACCAAAGTAGGTAATGTCATCAGGGCTAGAAGGGAGCAGGGTTTGCCAAATGGAGGAGAAGAGGGAGGAGGAGCAGGAGGAGAAGCAGGGAAGGGGGGGGGAGGGGGGGGGGGAAGGGGGAAGAAGAGGGGGGGTCCTTGGTGCTCTCTGAGCTTGGGGGTTTTCTTGCAGAGATTTCATGGCCCAACTAGGTAATATCATCAGTGCTATGCTGATTGGGGGATTCTGGGAGTTTAAGTACATAAGTCTTTATGAAGTGTGGAGATCCCTGGTTCAGAAGATAGAAGTGTAGGGCTGGAAGGGACCTCAGAGGTCCTCTAGCCCAACCCCCTTTCAAGGCAGAGGACCTTAAACCACCCCGGTTCGTAGCTCAGCACCCACCCCTCTCCTGGGGGCTCTTTTGGAGGTTGGATGTGGAGCCTTCCGAGCAGGGACAGACCACGCTCCCACAATCAGAGCGTCCCGAACAACAGGCACCCACAGTGGGAACACAAAGTATCTCTCTGCAGGCGTTGCTGGACAAACGGGGCCAAAATCAGGAGAGGCTCTGGGAGCAGCCTGGATGTGGAGAAGGACTCGCCCTTAGAGACGGTCCCGTCTTTCGTCAGAGCAGTGATGAGGACAAAGAATTCTTTTTTCGGGATGTCAGCGGAAGAAAAGCAACTCCTATCTATCTCCTTCGGCCACAAGGCATTCGGCACTCCCAGAGAGGAGACCCAGGAGATCAGCAGAGCGGGAGCTGCCCAGGCCTTGAACCCTGGGGGTGGGGGGCTTCCTGCAGGGAGAAATGCCCTGGCTTCAAGGCTCAGAGAGAGAGGCTGAAAAGTAAACGGCCCAGACCTTGGACGCTTTGGAGAGTTTGAATGGGCAGCTGATCAAGCGGCTTCCCAGCAGCAGAGACGGTGCCTGCGGACAATGGCTCCTGCGACGGGAATTTGATGTGGAAAAGAACAACCGGGCAGTCCCCGGCTTACGACCACAACTGAGCCCAAAATGTCTGCTGCTAAGTGAGACAGCTAAGTGAGTTTTGTCCCATTTTAGGACCTTCCTTGCCACCGTTGTTAAGTGAAACACTGCAGCTGTTAAGTGAGTCACACGGCTGTCAAGTGAATCTGACTTTCCCATTGACTTTGCTTGTCACAAGGTCGCAAAAGGGGATTACGGGACCCCGGGACACTGCAGCCGTCATCAATACGAGTCACTTCGCCAAGCGTCTGAATTCTGATCCCATGGCCATGGGGATGCTGCCATGGTCGTAAGTGTGAAAAACGGCCTGTCAATGTTTTCAATGCCATTGTAGCATCAAATGGTCACTAAATGAATGGTTGTAAGTCGAAGAATGCTGTAATTCCTGTTCTTCGGGGGCATCCGGGTTCTTTCTAGGGGCAAGGGAAAGGACCCAATTCTAGCATCCAAGACAGGATGGAGAATGTATGCTGGGGGATTATGGGAGTGGAAGTCCACCCATTTTAACGTGGCCATGGGTGAGAAACATTGTTCTATAGATAATCTTCAAGTTATGACTTTAATAGAACCCACCCACGACAGTCGTAAGTCATAACAGTAGTAAAAATTTATCATGTTAAAATTTGCAGCAACCGTTAACTGAATGTTGCGGCGCTAAGCGAACCCACGGGGGCAGTTTTGCCGAAAACTGGAAGAACCTGCCAGTTTTCAGCAAAACTTTCCTAAAACGGGGTCACGTGACTACAGGATGCTGCAAACAGCCACATTGCCGAGCGCCGACTATCCAGGTCATAAGTCTCCTTTCAGGGGGTGGGTGGGGGTTGGTCGTAACTTGGAATCATGGCTGGGGTCTCTCTGAATGGGCTGGACCAGGAATCCTGGGTGTTGAAGTCCACAGGTAGCCAAGTCACCATAATTCCCCACCCGTGGTCCAAGGGGCTCCTGGGCATATCCTGAGGCAGGTGAGTTGAGCCTCCTTCTCCTGGGGGGCAGGAGAGCTACATGGGGGAGACCGAGGGAGTTTTTTTTTTTTTTTTATTGAAAAGTTTTACAAAAAGTTTACATATTTCCCCCCCCTTCCCTACCTCAACCTCCCCCTCCCCCCTCCCCTTCCCAGAACAAATTACAGGGTATAAACTTCAACAATCATAATCAATCCTAGTCTAAACAATTATGACATTTCACATCTCTTGTTTCTTCAATTCCCTAATTACCCGCCTAGCTTTATTACTTAAAGACACACTAAATATCTATATAATCATTCATAACCTATCTGCAATTTCTTATTCCGATATTTATTTTGAATATAATCTATCCACCTTCTCCAGTCTCTTAAATATCTTTCATTTGAATGATCCTTCAGGTACGCCGAGATTTTTGCCATTTCCGCTAGATTTATAACTTTCATTGTCCACTCTTGGATTGTAGGTAAATCTTGCTTCTTCCAATATTGTGCCACCAACAGTCTTGCTGCAGTTATTAAATTCAAAATCAATTTAGTCTCTATGACTGTACAATCCGTAACTATACCCAAAAGAAACAGCTGTGGTGTAAATTTCAACCTCTTTTTAAGAATATTTTGTAAAATCCACCAGATTTTAATCCAAAACGCTTTAACCTTTTTACATGTCCACCAAATGTGAAAATAAGTAGCATCCTCACAATTACATCTCCAACATTTTGGTTGTACATTCAGATACATACGAGACCGAGGGAGTTTTAATGGGAGCAGAATTCTGGCTCTCCTCGGCATAGGCTGGACCCCATTTCTTCCCAGTGGTTTCTAACATAAAGAGAATGGCTTGCAGCCAAACATTGTTGGAAGGTGGCTTGTCCACTGTGTGAACCTGGTTAGGGGGTTCAGTTGTGCCTTTAGAGCAGGGGGTGGGGAAACATGGCCCCGTTATGACTTCTGGACTTCAACTCCCAGAACTTTGGATCCAGATCATAAATCCTCTTTTGGGGGAGTTGGTTGTAACTTTGAATCCTTGCTCTGAATGGGCTGGAGCTCGGGAATTCTGGGAGTTGAAGTCCACAAGTCCTAAAGGGACGATGGTTGCCCACCTCTGTTTTAGAGGTTCCGGGGATGTCTTCATCTCAGGGACCATGGGGTGAGGTGGGGACAGTCAGTCACCAAAACGGTTTTCAGAAATAAGCTGGACAACCATGTGACCGGAATGGCCGTAAGGTCTCCTGCCTTGAGCAGGGGGTTGGACTAGATGACCTCTGAGGTCCCTTCCAGCCCTGGGATTCCATGATTCCATTTAGGCAAAGCAAATCAGCTCAGACTCCCTCCTTCAACTCTGCCTGTGACTCCCGGAGAAAAAGCAGGAGATAAATGCAATAAAAATAAACTTGACAGTTGTATTGTATCGTGGTGTGCGGTGCGTGGCTTAGCCTGATGTATGAATTGGGTTATTTTGCTTGCAAACAAGCTAGAGCCAAATAGCCCCCCACCCCCACCCCAGCACCTGTGTCTGCAGAGGGGAGAAGAGGCTTGGTCTGCAAGTTTATTTATTTATATCTTGCTTATATTATTTTTATAAATAACTCAGGGTGGCAAACATAACCAGCACATCTTCCTCTTCCTATTTTCTCCACAACAACCCTGTGAGGTAGGCTGGGTTGAGAGAGAGAGAGAGAGAGAGAGAGGGAGGGAGGGAGGGAGGGAGAGAGAGAGAGAGGGAGGGAGGGAGGGAGGGAGGGAGGGAGAGAGAGAGGGACTGGCCCAAAGACACCCAGCCGGCTTTCATGGCTAAGTCAGGACTAGAACTCACTACCTCCCACTTTCTAACCTGATGCCATAACTCCTAAAGCAAACTGGGTCTCAGTTGGGCAGCCTGGGACCTCACACCTGCCCTCCGTTCTCTTAGCCAAGCTAGCCCAGAGCAAGGTGCCACCTTCCCATGCAGGAGGACCCGGGGGGAGGGGGAGAAATCCCCCCCTTCCTCAGCCAAAGAGAGATGCTGGGGACCCCACGTTGCAGTGCTGAGCCCTGGCTGCCCCGGACCAGGCTTGCCCTCCCTCCCCCAATGTCTTGGCCTGGTGGGACCAAGCCCCAGGATGCCTGGTGCCCTCCTAGGAAACGCCCCCTCCTCTTCTCGGCCTGCGTGCCCCGCTATCTCTCGGGAGGGGAGATAAGGGCCAAGGTTTCTCCTGTGCTGAGGAAGCACTGCAGCCCCGTCCTTCCTTCCAACGTGCGGAGATGTTCCCACTCTGTTCCCAAATGTCCTTGCCAGCACCGAGCCAAGGGAAGACGGACTTGGGGCAGCCCCCCACCTCCCGTCCCTCTGCTGCTGACTCAGTTCTCCCAGCCGGAAGAGCTGCAGGGGTCATGGCAGGCGAGGAGGCTCCCTGGCTCAACCTGATGGCGCCTGGATGCACGGCTAAGGCCGGGGGGTCTCCGTCCACGTGGGTTCCGTCCCAGGTTTTGGTTCACGGATAAGCACATACGTGCTGAGCTCATCATACCGGATGCAGAAAAGAAACGAATAACAGAATGCCAGAGTGGGAAGGGACCAGTGAGGGATTCAAGTAATTGAACAACCGGTTCTCTGCCCTAATGATTTCTTCCAACAACCAGTTTACCACACTGCTCAGAAAGTTAACAACCGGTTCTCCCGAAGTGGTGAGAACTGGCTGAATCCCACCACTGGAAGGGACCTTGGAGGTCTTCTAGTCCAGCCCCCACCTTAACCAGAAGATCCTATGCTATTTTAGACAAATGGTTGTCCAATCTCTTCTTAAAAGCCTCCAGTGATGGAGCAAGTGGTTCCACTGGTTAATTCTTCTCACTGTCAGGAATTTCCTCCTTAGCTCCAGGCTGGCTCTTTCTTTAAGGAGAGGAAAGGAAAGGAAAGGAAAGGAAAGGAAAGGAGGAAAGGAAAGGAAAGGAAAGGAAAGGAGGAAAGGAAAGGGGAAGGGAAGGGAAGGGAAGGGAAGGGAAGGGAAGGGAAGGGAAGGGAAGGGAAGGGAAGGGATGAAATGGGATGGGATGGCAAGTAAGGGAAGGGACAGAAAAAGGAAAGGAAAGTAGGAAGGTTAGGAAAAGAAAAGAAAGAAAAGAAAAGAAAAGAGAAGAGAAAGAAGGAAGGAAGGAAGGGGAGGGGTGGGAAGGGAAGGGAAGGGCAGGGCAGGGCAGGGCAAGGAAAGGCTTGGCCTCCTCTCTGCCCCATCTCACAGCCTTCCCTCTTCCTTTGGTGCCCCACAGCAGAACTGGGGAGGGGCCCTTCCCTCCCTTCCCTCCCTGGGTGCCATCTCTGCTTGAGCTCTGGCCGCCTGTCATGTGCAGCCAGTGGCTTCCTTCCCAGAGCAGCATAAAGGCCCCATTGCCCACTGAGCCTGGACTCCAACCTCCCCCTCCCGAGGATCTGTTCTCTGGGCAACGTGACGGAGCTCTGCTCAATGGGAGAGGACCCTCCGCTGGCTGCTGCAGAGGCTCCCCAGCCAGTGGGGGTCCTGTGGGGGCTGCGTGGGGCTCCTCGCCACTTGGCTGCCCTCCCTCTGAAGCTCAGCACTTCTGGAAGGAGGGGCTGGGCCTCCGGGGGGGGGGGGGGGGGGGCAGGGGCAGCCTTTTCCTCCCAGAAGGTAATGGGAGACCCCTTTGCATTCCACTAGGCTGCCCCGGCTGAGCCAGGGCCCTCAGGTGGCAAACTGGGCATCTCTTGGCTTCCCCTGCAGCCATTGGCTCTCCTGTTGGGCATCCCTTGGCAAAAGGGGGCTGAGACCCCAAAGCAACTGGTCAGGCACTTTGGCTAAGCCCCTTTTCGGCCTGCAATCTGGGTTGGAGGTGGTGGTGGGGTGACGATGGTAACATCCAGTTTACAAAGACGGTGTTGAGACTTTGGAAAAAGTGCAGAGAAGAGCAACTAAGACGATTAAAAGGCCTGGAGGCTAAAACATAGGAAGAACGGTTGCAGGATTTAGGTTTGGATAGTCTAGAGAAAAGAAGGACTAGTGGGGTGGGTGGGACATGATAGCCGTGTTCCAATACTTGAAGGGCTGCCCCAAAGAAGAGTTGGGGGTCCATTGATTCTCCAGAGCACCAGAAGGCAGGTCAAGGAACAATGGATGGAAACTATCCAAAAACAGAAGCCACCTGGAATTAAGGAGAAACTTCCAGCAGTGAGGACAATTAAATTCTGACTGTTTTGCCTCCAGAAGTTGTAGGGGCTCCATCAAGGGGGTGGATGTGGGGGCTTTAAGGGGAGAGTGGACAGCCATTTGTCCAGAATACTAGGGTCTCCAGCCAAGATCAAACGAGTCGGTTTCTTTCCTGTCTTACTTTCTTTAAAGTCCAACCTTCACAACCAGGGGAAGTCTGGAGAACAGGAGAGAGCAGGCTAACCTTCTTTCCCAAATCTAATGTCTTCTGGATGAACAGGACTTGCCTTCCCATAATCCCCATCCCTCACTTGGAACCCAGAATTCAATCTCCAGCTGAGATGGTCAGCCAGTTCCAGGCCGTGATGCAGTCCCACTGGAACGAGGCCCTCCGGCTCTTCGCCACCAGCGGCACTTCCCTCCAGCCTTTGGCCAAAGCCCCCCACCAGGAGGCTGAAGCAGACCCCAAGTCGGAATTTCTGCCCCCCTCCGACCTGCACAAAAAGACCCTGAAGGGGGAGACTCTCTGCAGCAACACAAATGCTCATTGCACATATCCGTCCCAGGGGCCGTAGTTTGAGGACCCCTGATTTAGTGCAATATAAAAAATGGAAATAATTTTTCTGCGGACCACCAAAATTTTCTTGCAGACCACCAGTCGTCCACGGACCACCAGTTGGTGACCGCTGATCTAGTCCAACCTCCTTGTCCAGGACAGGGGTCCTTAGATCACCTTGGACAAATGCTTGTCCATTCTGTTTTCAAAATACTCTTTCGGGGATCCATCTGGCCTCTTTGGGACCTGGCCTGGGGAGGAAAGTGATGGGATTGGTCGGTGCTCCTCAGAGCCACCCCCGATGCACCCCTGGGCTAGTATCTCCCACCCCCACCTGCCAATCATCTCCTCTTGAGAGTTGGCAGTTGAGGTGCTCAGGTCTCCCCGGTTTTTGGGGGGTGAAGGAGTAATGGGGCTGCTTGCAAGAACGGCCTTGTGTTGTGCATAAATGATAAATGTAGTCCTTGACATACAACATTCATTTAGTGACCCTTTGAAGTTACAAAGCCTGAGTGGTGCAGCAGACTAATGCTACTGTTAAAGGTAGTATTTAGCTTCCAGCTGCCTGAAATTACTGAGAGTTCAAATCTCGCCAGGCTCAAGGTTGACTCAGCCTTCCATCCTTTCTAAGGTAGGTAAATTGAGGACCCAGATTGTGGGGGCAATAAACTGACTTTGTATAAATATACAAAAGGATGAAGGCTATTGCTTAACGCATTGTAAGCTGCCCTGAGTCTCCGGAGAAGGGCGGCATATAAATCAAAAATAAAATTAAAAAACAAAACAAAAAACAACAGCACTGAAAAAAATGATGTGAGTTTTTCACACCTATGACCATTGCAGCAGCCCCTTTTAAAATTTTAATTTTTAAATTCAGACGCCACTGGCTCATATTTATGACAGTCACGGCGTCCCATGATCCCCTTTTGCGACCTCCTGACAAGCAAAGTCAAGGGGGAAGCTGCATTCATTTAACAACTGAGGTAAGCGAGGTTGTAAAATGAGGCAAAACTCTCTTAACAGACATCTTGCTTAGTGACAGAAATTTTGGCCTCAATTGTAGTCGTAAGTCGAGGACTACCTGTACACAGAAAAACCAGGCAGGGCTGCCATTTCATTATCATTTTGACCCCCGCCCCAAGAACCTGTGCAGGTAATGGCCGGGTATTTCTCTTGCCCAAGTCCCCCATCTTCCCTGACAGCTGTCAGTCTCTGGGGCAAGAGGGGGAGGGGGGTGAGGACAGGCCCCATCCCGGGACAAAGCATCGCAGGCAAAGAAAAGGACCCCCCTCCCTTGGGGAGAAATCCCACTGCTCGGAGGCTGCGTCCTATGGGCCTGGCGAGATCACCCCATCGCGGTTGCCCTGGCAACCGGCCTCAGCCCACCGCCTTGGAAGCCAGGCATGAATTCAAGGGATGGGATGGGGGGGGCGAGGGGGAGGGAGAGGTAACTCTCGGTCAGGCAGGGAAAGTGGGCAGCAGCCTTACCAACACTTCTCTGCATGGTGCGGATGCCAAGGGGTTCTCGGGGAAGGGAGAAAGGGGATCTATTGGGTGGGGGGCCAGGGAGGGGGGGTAGGGGAAAATGCCCCTCCCTTTCTCTGACTCCTTGACTGAATTTTATAGCATCATAAGAGGTTATTTGAGGCCAGGTTTCAGACAGGGAGGGATGTTTTGGGTGGGTGTGTGCCAACTTTGCAACAAGTGAAAAATTTTCTGGTTGCCCAACTAAGGGAATTCGTTTTTTAAAAAGTTGTTGAAAAAGATTTTGAAAGTTGTTGAAAAAGTTCTTGAAAGTTTTCAAAAAGCTTTCAAAAGTTTCCAACAAGTTTTTAACAGCTTTAAAACTTATACAAGTTGTTTTAAAAGTTTTCAACAAGTGTTTAAAAAGTTTTCAAAAGTTTTCAAAATGTTTTTTACAGCTTTAAAACTTATACAAGTTGTTTACAAGTGGCTGGAAAGGCCTTGGAGCCTCTAAAACCATCATAAGGCAAAGAACGATAAAAGTGGGATTGTGCCAGGCTGGGTGACGATGAAGGCCAGCTCAGAGGAGAAGAGGGGAACTTAAAAGATCCGCTGTCTGTCCTTATCAGATCTGGACCTTGTCAACACCTGACCTTGCCAGATCCAAGCCCAAGCATCCTCCCCCCCCCCAGGAATATGACGCTGGTTTGATCAAACATTGTGACAGCTTTAAGCCTGGCCTGCAGCCACATGGACCCGGAGTGCCTGAGGGGGGTGGGGGGGGTGGGCGCCCACCTCTCCATAGCCAGGCAGGTCGGTGGGAGGAAAGGTCTCCCCTTTGGGAGCCCCGAAACGATTGGAATGTATTGAGTTGATTCATGGGCTGCTGGCTGGAAGTATCAGGTAGACTGCAGCTGCACCTGGAGGCTCCACTGGCACAGCCAGCTTTCCTGGAAAGTCTTTCCCTGGCCCTTCCGCCTTTGGGGAAGTCGCCGCCCCCCCCCCCCCATGGAAAGGCCGCCCAACAAGCCCCCAGCTTCGGGACAGCCCTCCCGGGAGGGGGTGCGGCAGCTACTCCTCCCCCCGCCCCCCTGGAATCAGGCCACCGCGCGGCGGGGCTTAAAAGGCGGCGGGCCGGCGGGCGCTGTCTCTGCGCGGTGGTGCTGAAGGAGGGTCGCCCGGCGGACGGCAGGAGGGAGCAGTCGCCGCGCACCATGGGCCTGGGAGTGGTGGCAGTGGCGGCGGCGATGCTGCTGGCGGTGGCCGGAGCCGGACTGCCTCCCTGCTCGCGGGACAGCCGGGGCAGCGACGGGCGGCTCTGCGCGGAGAGCGGACCGGAGTCTTCGACGCTGCGCGGCGTGGCCGCCTTGGAACGGGCGCGGGATGCCGGCTCGACCGGGGGTCGTCGGCGAGCCAAGCGGGGCTTCACCTACCCGGGGACCCTCTGGTGCGGCGCCGGAAACATCGCGGAGAACTACGAGCAGCTGGGTAGGCGAGAGCCCGGGGCCGCGTCGGAGGGCGCCCGCAAGGGAGTCCGTTTGATTGGTCTCGTTCTGCGTCTTGTGGCGGGGAGTTCCGTAGGGAGGCACCCTGGGAAGTTGTTGCCAGAGCGAAGAGCTCTGCTTTGAGATGAGGCGGTGGGCACACCAGGCTTTCAAGGGGAGGGGGGGAAACACCGCAGTGCCAGCTGTGGGCAGAGGGGCTGCTTTGGGGGCTATCCTCCCCACTCTCCCCCCTGCCCTCCCCGCCCAGCACTGTAAAGTCCAGCCGGTGGTCTTAATGACAAGGGAGCCGTCTGGGGGGACGAGGAAAAAAGTTGGCATTTTTGGATGTTTTAAGTGTGGAAAATGTTCTATGCCCAAAAACTGGAAGGATTCTCTGATTCCCACAAAGGGGCGAATGGCTGCCAGAGTTGGTGGAGTTATCAGGGATGGCAAAACTGTCGGCTTTGATTTAAGAAAAAACCTCAAATTAATTTTGTTTCCACCGCTTGTGGACTTTGTGCCGGAAGTGGGGAAAAAAATAAACTTTGATTTTGGGTTTTGCTGCTTAGGTAAGTTTGGTTATTGCATAAATGTCTAGGACAGGGAGTTCTCCACTTACGATCACAAATTGACCCTGAAATTTATGCTGCTAAGTGGGTCATTTGTTAAGTGACTTTTGCCCCATTTTACAATTTTTCTTGCCACGTTTGTTAAGTGAATTGCCGCAGTTGTTAAGCGAGTTACACGGTTGTAAAGTGAATCCGGCTTCCCCTTGACTTCGCTTGTCAGAAGGTCGCAAATGGGGATCATATGAGTCAGTTGCCAAGTAAAAAGGTAAAGATTACCCTGGCACGTATGTGCTAGTCGTTCCTGACTCTAGGTGGCGGTGCCCATCTCCGTTTCAAAGCCGAAGAGCCAGCGCTGTCTGATGACGTCTCCGTGGTCATGTGACCGGCATGACTCAATGCTCAACCCCAAAAGTGCCCAGAACGCTGTTTCCTTCCCACCAAAGATGGTCCCTATTTTTCTACTTGCATTTTTTACCTGCTTTCAAATTGCTAGGTTGGCAGAAGCTGGGACAAGTCACGGGAGCTCACCCCGTTATGCGGCAGCACTAGGGATTCGAACTGCTGAACTGCCGACCTTTCGATCGACAAGCTCAGCATCTGAGCCACTGAACCACCGCGTCCCAAAAGTTGCTAAATATCTGACTGTAAATCACATGACCCTGGGGATGGTGCGATGGTCGTTAAGTGTGAAAAATGGTCGTTTTTCAGTGCCATTGTAACTTCAGTCATTAAGTGAACTGTCGTAAGTCGAGGACCGCCTGCATATATTATGCAAAAGTAAACAGTTAAAAGTTGTATCTTATTACTTCTTCTTGTGCCAAAAGGAGTCGGAAGTCAATGCTTATCTTAGCCCTTTTATCCTGCACTTTTTCCTTCTTCTCCTTCTCCTATTCTTCTCCTCATTTTTCTTTCTATTTTTGTATTTTACATTTTGATAAATGAAATTTTACCGCCAACAACGGAGCTGTCTGGGGTGGGCACTGTGGGCAGGAGGGGGAAAGTCCCGGGGGCTGCTCCCCCCATCTAACCACTCCCCCCCTGCCGCCCCCCCCTTGCAGGAGAGCACCAGGAGACGGACAGGTGTTGCCGGGAACACGACCATTGCCAGCACCTCATCCATCCCTTCACCTACAAGTACGGGCACCGGAACCTGCGCTGGCACACCATCAGCCACTGTGATTGCGACAGGAGGTGAGGAAGGGTGGGGGGAAACAGGCAGGCAGGTGAGAACCCGATTCCCCCAAGGAATCAGCAACCCCTCCCACCCCCCACCCCCCTGAGCAATGAAAAAGGCCACAAAAACATGTCTGTTAATATTAATATTTGTCCTTTTATTACTTCTTAGTTTCCCCTTCTACTGGTTGCTCGCTTTTAGTGTTACAATTTCCTCTGTTGCTTTGCAAGGACTCTGAGAGCTTGTGCACCGGAGACAAATTCCTTGTGTATCTAATCACACTTGGCCAAATGAAGTATCTTATCACATTGTACAATATTCTGTTTATTCTATAGAATAGAATATTCTATATTCTATATTCTATATTCTATATTCTATTCTATTCTATTCTATTCTATTCTATTCTATTCTATTCTATTCTATTCTATTCTATTCTATTCTATTCTATTCTATTCTGTAGTCTATTCTCGATTACAATTCTATTCCTATTCTATTTTCCATTTTGTATTCTATTCAATTCCTATTTCTATTCTATTGCATTGTATTCTATTCTCAATTTTATCTTCTCAGTTCTATTTTCTTCTTTCTTTTTAATTATATTTTAGTCTTCTTTTCTCTTCTCTTATCTTTTCAATCCTGCTTCTCTCCTCTTAATTCTCTTCTTTCCTCCTCTCCTCTCTATTTTCTTCTTAATTCTATTCTTCTATTATCTCTTCTCTCCTTAATCCTCTCCATTCTTCCTCTCCCCTCCCCTCCTCTTGGTTCAGCAGATGCCTGGATGCATCCCCACCATCACCATGGCAACCATACCAAAAAACCTCACCCTTTCACCCACAGAGGGGCTTTTCCTGGGATCTCCTTGTGGCCTCCCATCCTAATAGCCAGATTCAAATCCCGTTCGTTTGGGGGATCAGCCATGATCAGTGGGGGCTGCGAGGTAGGGATGGGGGGCCCTTGAAGTTGGCTTTGGACCAGGCAAACTCTCTGACCCAGTGCTACGAGCAGGGCAAAGGGAGCTTTTCTCAGCCCCGAGGGTGGTGGGCTGCTTCCGCCCTCTTCAGCCCAATCATGGTTTAGCCCGTGACCCATGAAAACCTGGTCAACCTTCAAGCAGGATTCAGGATGTCTTGGGAGCTCATCCTAGGGTTGGGATCCCATAAGTCTTTCCCCCCAGTCATCCTCCCTCCCCCCTGTGGGGGCTCTTCTGCAGTTTGCAAAGATGGTTTTCGGAGTGGGTGGGTTTGGGGCCAAGCCGATCATCCCTCTTTGCTTGCAGTGTGCAGTTGAGATCCAGGGCTTGCACAATAAGCCACGAATGGCTGTCAAGGGAGGATGTCTGATTTCAGCTGTGCTCCTTGGCCTGGATCAGGCTGAGGCAGACGTCACACGCAGTCCTTGTACATCGGGCCCCGATCCAGCCCCGAATAGCACGCCTGGGAAGGCCCTGGCCTGGCTCCCAAGGCCACCAATCAAAGGGCAGATGAGGTGACTCCGAAGCCCATCTACGCTCAGCTCTGTTGCAATGGGCAGCTTCAAGGGAGGAGCCAGCAATTGCAAAGTGTAAAACCAGGGGCATCCAACTTTTTAAGACCTGTGGACTTCAACTCCCAGAATTCCGCAGCCAGTTTAGCTGGCTGCGGAATTCTGGGAGTTGAAGTCCACAAGCCTTAAAGGGGCACACCCTTGGTGTAAATGCTCAAATTTGCCAGCCTACTTTGGGCTAATAAAAATTAAAAAAAAAAATGCAACCCCTCCCCCAGCCTGAAGCCCGCCTGCCAATCTGTCATCTGAATGGAGGCTTTCACCGGAAGGCCTCGGGAGCGTGGGAATCGCACAGCAGTGCATGCTGGGTGCAGAGTCCGTTCCAAGACGAGACCCCCAACGTGTCTCTCCCCCCACCCCAATCTCTTCCAGGCTGAAAGACTGTTTGAGTGCCGTGAACAACACCGCTTCCCGGGTGGTGGGACAAGCCTTCTTCAACGTCATCCAGGTGCCGTGTTTTGTGCTGGTCTACCAAGAATCCTGCGTGGAGTCTTACCTCTATGTCTGGTGAGTGGGGTCCCCCCCCTTGGCCGAGCGTTCCCCCCACCCCACTCCAGGTCTCCTCTGCAGAAGGGTCCTGGCCAATGCCCCACCCTGGCAGGGCTGCGGCACCACTGCTCTGTGCCCCTAACCAGCACTGACGTTTTATCTGAAATGTTATCAGGTTTCCTGCCTGGAAGCAGGGGTGGGTGGGGGTTGGACTGGATGACCTCCAAGGTCCCTTCCGACTTGATTATTCTGATAAAAGGGGTTGGGCGTGGAAAGGCTCCACGCGATCCTCGACTTACGACCACAACTGAGCCCCAATTTTCCTTTGCTACGGAAAGTGAAGGGAGTTTTGCCCCTTCTTGCCAAGGTCGTTAAGTGAATCACTGCAGTCGCTGAGTGAGTCGCATTAAGTGAATCCGGCTTCCACATTGACTTTGGTTGCTGGAAGGTCGCAAAAGGGGATCACATGACGTACACACGCACACACACGGGACATGGCAATGGTTACAAGTATGAGGCAGCTGCCAAGCGTCTGAATTTGATCACATGACTATTGGGGGGGGGATGCTACGACGGCCATTAAGTGTGAAAGGCAGTGCTAAGTCACTTTTTTCAGTGCCGTTGTAACTTGGGTCCCTAAGCAGATGGTTGCAAGTCGAGGACTACCTGTTTCAGGGCCGCAGACCCAGCACGGATGTGCTGTGAGTCAGCAGGGAACCATGGACGGGACGTGAGAAGAACTTAAATCGGATCAGTGGCTTTGAAGGAGCAGCGTCCAACCTTAGCAACTTTTAAGACTTGGGGACTTCAACTCCCAGAATTCCATAGTCAACGGGCTGACTATGAACAGAGCTGGCTGGGGAATTCTGGGAGTTGAAGTCCCCAAGTCTTAAAAGTTGAAAGGTTGGACACCCCTGCTCTACAGCAATCTAGAGTTGCCGTGTCCTGTCTCCCCCTCCCCCCTTGCAAAGGACCCCACCCCACTCGCCTCTTTCCTTCCTAGGTGCAAGAACTACAGCCGGATGGCCGTGGCGGTCCTGAAAGACCCGGTGATGTTTGACTATGGGGGAGAGCGGATCGACGCCCCAGCGACCCGCCGGCTGCAACCGGCCTCTTCCACCGCCACCACCACCACTCTGTCCCCCAACTCTTCTCCTCCTCCTCCTCCTACCCCCAGGACGCTGAGCCAGGCAGCCGATAGCCGGCCCACCCAGGCCAGGCTGAGCCCCTTGCCCCCAAAGCTTCGGAAGGGCAAAGGGAAAGATGGAGGCCGAGGCCGGAAAGGGAAGGGGACCAAGAAGCAGAAGAAAAAAGGCCCCTGGGGCAAGGCGGGCACCCCCATCGCCCACCAGCACCCTGCTGGGGAGGGAGTCCCCCTGAAGCAGCTGGCTGGGCAGGAACTGGGGCAGGGGGATGCCGAAATGGGACAGGGGGACTCCTTCAATGCCATCTTGAGTGATGAGCCTGGCCGAGGAGGGAGCGAGCAGGATGCTGCTGGGTTGCCTGAGAGCACGCAGACGGTCCCGCAAAAGGGCCTCCCCACCACTGGCCCGTCTGGGGTGAGGAAGAGGAAGAGGAGGAGGAAGAGGAGGAGGAAGCTGCGGAAGGAAGAGGAAAGCGGGCCAAGGCACCAGAAGCACTCCGTGGCCGGCAGCGTAAAGGCGGAGCAAAGCCCCCCCACCCAGACGTGGGGCTGAAATGCGGACAGGATTACAGAAATGAGAGACTCGAGTCCCAAAGGGGCTTTTTCCAAAAGGCAGCTGGACTTTCTTAGGATTTTTTCCCCATTGAAAACATTTCGCTTCTCATCCAAGAAGCTTCTTCAGTTCAGGGAAGTCCGAAGGTTTTCTTTTGGAAAAAGCCCCTCTGGGATGACTGTGAGAGGATGGGGAATCTCCGTAGACAAGGGAGTTGGAAGGGACCTCGGAGGTCTTCTAGTCCAACCCCCTGCTTGAGCAGGAGGCCCGATGCAGAAGACCAGACCTGCTAGGTTGGCCTCGATGGAGAAGGAATAAAAGCCGATTAACTATGCACTGGTGCCCTCCGTCCAGCCTCTTCTTTTGCAAAATCCCTTTCGCCGGGGTGGGTGGGGTGGGGTGGGGGAGCTGTCCGTCCTGAAGAGGCCAGTGGGCCAGCTGGTCAGACACTCCCCGCTACTCAGCCTGCGCAAGGCTCAACCTGGCCCCCAACGGGCCCCAGAAGGCCTGGGAGTTGCTTGGCAGGGTCTGCCCCCACCTTCTTTTCAGGCAGCTGCCTCTTTTAATGCCAGAAAGCCAATTCATGGGGGGACGAGGTCGCCCGAGCCCCCCCCCCCCCCCCGCTAGTCTCCATCTTTTAGGGTCCTCCCCCGCCCCCTTCACCCTAAGTGGGGTTCTGGTTTCAGTTTTTCAAACCAATCTGCCCAGATGGTCATTGCTGGCTCTGACTAGTCTGGCTGAGATGATTTTATTTATTTTTTTTAAGCAAAGACCATCTTCAGTCTTGGAAGGAAAAAAAAAAAAAAAAAAAGGAGGGTGGGGGGACACAACACCCTCAGGAGAACCGTGGGGAGGGCCAGAAGCTCCCCCGGTTGTGAAATCAGGCCACGCAAGAGATGCCAGGAATACCTTGAGTTCCGTCCTCTGCTTCCTAGGCCCAATGCCAGGCCAGGTCTCTGCCCATTGGGGGTCTGAGCCCCAGAAAAGCTGGGTCAGCGGCCTTTCCCCCCCCCATGTCGACTCCTCTCTCTCCATCCTGCTTTGCTCAGGGGCAACGAACCAGGGCTCCAGCCGGCCTTCCCTCCAGTGGGACGTGGGGCACGGAGACCAGCTTGCTGGCACAGGAGGGAGTGGTCCTAGCCTTTGTCCTCCAGGATCTGGGCAAGTCAGAAAGGTGGGCACGGCCATGGTCCTCCCAGGGGTGGGGGTGCTTCAGTCAGGGGGTAACAGCAGCAGAAGAGGCAGCTTGACCAACACCTCCCCCCCCCCGGAAGGGACCTGGAATCCAGGGTGGTAAAAGAGCCTGGCCTACGGGATGAAGGCCCCCCTTCCTGCTGCTGCTTTGTGTTGGGGTCGAGGGGGGTCTTTCCCCTTCAGCAGGGGAGGGGCCCTGACCCCCTGCAGGGCATCCCATCTTTTTTGCAAGTGCCAAGGAGAGCAGAGCCCGCACCCGCCTCCTGCAGCACCATCTGCTTGGCCACCGGCTACATCTGTCTTGGGGGCCCCGAGAAATGTGGCCCCTGCCACCAGCTCCCCAGACAGACCGGTGCATGGCACACAGCGGCCGGCCACGTCTCCCTGCCTCCTGTGCAAAGATGCCAGGGCAGGGGGCTCAAACACAGTTTCATTGAGGGCCACATCAGGGGGGTGGGAGTCATGGTCCAGGTGGGCGTGGCCGGCTTGACATCACCTGTGTACGGGGGGGGGGGGGGGGGGCGGGGGGGGGGGGGGCGGGGCCGGCTGGACGGCCCCGGGGGGGGGGGGGGGGGGGCACCTGTGGTGGTGGCCAAATGCTAAGGCAGGACTTCCTTCAGACCCTCCCTCACTCATAATCTCTCCTTTCCTTCCTTCCCCTCTTCCCTTCTTTTTCTATCTTTCCTCTTTCCCTTTCTCCTTTCCTCTCCCTTCTTGCATGCACATTTCCAGGCCACCTCTAAGCCTCCCAAGGGCGGCATCCGGCTGGTGGGCTCAATTCTGGCACCCCTGTGAGGGTGAGACTTTGTGGGCAATTCAGGCCAAACGGCTGAGCGGGACCCCCCTGCGAGGAGGGACGAGAAAGCCCAGAAACCTCCAAGGGGGGGGGGGTCTCCAAAGATCTCAAAGACCCCTGGCTCTGACCCCCTGAAGGCCAAGGGGCTGCTGGTCTCCCCGAGGAAGCCCCTCTGGCTCCCCCAGAACACTGGCTGCCTCTACCTAAGCAAAGGCAGCCGAAGAGCCCCTCTTGTGCCCAAGACACCCCGGCTGGCTGGAGGAGGCCGAGTCTGCCAGGATGGCATCTCAGCTGCTCCTCTTGACAGCTGGGAGGAAGAGGAGGAAGAGGAGGAAGACTCCGTAGAAACACCATTTATTCCTTTTGCTGTCGGGAGGGGACAAGGGGGGAGGGGAAGGAGGGGAAGACGCTATTTGGCATTCCAGCCGCTGCCACGGACGCTCCCTTCCTCCTTCACAAAAGGCCGCCATTGACCGGGGTTTTTTTTTTCTTGCAAGCTTTTCTTTCTTCCTTCCTTTCCTTTCCTTTTTTTAGTAACACAACTGAATAAATATTGTCCTGCGATGTGGCTTATGGCGGAGGCCGCATTTTTTTCGGAGCTCAGGCAGCAAAGCGCCCCAAACATCGACACAGCCACTGAGCACAGAGTAGCGAGAGCGAAAGAGAGAACGAGAGAGGGAGGGAGAGGAGGTGGAGGGGCCACGTCCAGTCTCTGAGTTAGAAGCCAGGCCTTCTCGTGCCACTCCAGTCCTGGCAAAGTGGGAACCGGAGGGCAAAAAAAAAAACCGGGCCCGCACGAAGGCCTCAATGGGTCCGAGAGCCGCAGGGCCGCCTTGGTGCCAACAGCCCAGCGGCTTCTTCAAGTCTCCGCTGCCCGCAAAGGGCGCAGCCGGGCGTCCCTGGCATACTTTTTCCACGCGGGGCGAAGCGAACGAAAGGAAGAAGACGGAGCGAGGTGGCTGGGCAAGGGGGGGCAGCCGTCATCGTGCTCCTCCTGTGGGAGACTACCGGTCCATCTCGTCCAACAGCGGGGTGGCGTCGCCGGCCACGGACATGGGCGTGCTTTCGATCATGGGGCTGGGCGAAGGGCGAGGGGTCAGCCGCTGCTTCTGCTTCCGGCGTTCGGCCTCCTTTTCCTGCAGCCACTGTTCGGCCATCTTGCCCCAGTCGATGGGCGCGTGGGAGGTGGACCTGCAGGGGAAACGGGGGAGACAATGAGGACTGGTGGCATGGGTCCCTTCAGCTGTGGCGGTGTCCTGAGGGTGGGCCACCCCATTGGCAGGAGAGCCCAACCTGACGGCTGGACTTCAACTCCCAGAATTCCCCAGCCAGCAAGTCCAGCCGTCTTAAAGGTTGGACACTCCTGCTCTTGGCACCCAAGGCCTGGAAGCCTTAATTTCACAAGAGATGGACTGATCTAACTACAGTTTCAACTGGGAAACTGATGATCCTAGGCCACGGAATTTTCGGAAGTCTTATAACAAACACTTAGGCATAAACAGTATCTACATACTGTGCAAGAGAGACAATCAACAAGCCAGAAAGGGAACAAGACCTCTCCAATTAATAGATTCTATTCTATTATATTCCATTCCATTCCATTCCATTCCATTCCATATTCTATTCTATTCCATATTCTATTCTATTCTATTCTATTCTATTCTATTCTATTCTATTCTATTCTATTCTATTCCTTTCCCATTCCATTCCATTCCATTCCATTCCATTCCATTCCATTCCATATTCTATTCTATTCTATTCTATTCTATTCTATTCCATTCCATTCCATTCTATATTCTATTCTATTCTATTCTATTCTATTCTATTCTATTCTATTCTATTCTATTCTATTCCTTTCCCATTCCATTCCATTCCATTCCATTCCATTCTATATTCTATTCCATTCTATATTCTATTCTATATTCTATTCTATATTCTATTCTATTCTATTCTATTCTATTCTATTCTATTCTATTCTATTCTATTCTATTCATTCCTTTTCCATTCCATTCCATTCCATTCCTTCTATATTCTATTCTATATTCTATTCTATATTCTATTCTATTCTATTCTATCTATTCTATTCTATTCTATTCTATTCTATTCTATTCCTTTCCCATTCCATCCCATTCCATTCCATTCTATATTCTATTCCATTCTATATTCTATTCATTCTATATTCTATTCTATTCTATTCTATTCTATATTCTATTCTATTCTATTCTATTCTATTCTATTCTATTCTATTCTATTCTATTCTATTCTATTCCTTTCCCATTCCATTCCATTCCATTCCATTCCATTCCATATTCTATTCTATATTCTATTCTATTCTATTCTATTCTATTCTATTCTATTCTATTCTATTCTATTCTATTCTATTCTATTCTATTCTATTTTCTATTCCTTTCCCATTCCATCCCATTCCATTCCATTCTATATTCTATTCCATTCTATATTCTATTCTATTCTATTCTATTCTATTCTATTCTATTCTATTCTATTCTATTCCTTCCCATTCCATTCCATTCCATTCCATTCCATTCCATTCCATATTCTATTCTATATTCTATTCTATTCTATTCTATTCTATTCTATTCTATTCTATTCTATTCTATTCTATTCTATTCCTTTCCCATTCCATCCCATTCCATTCATTCTATATTCTATTCTATATTCTATTCTATATTCTATTCTATATTCTATTCTATTCTATTCTATTCTATTCTATTCTATTCTTTCTATCCTTTCCCATTCCATCCCATTCCATTCCATTCTATATTCTATTCCATTCTATATTCTATTCTATATTCTATTCTATATTCTATTCTATATTCTATTCTATTCTATTCTATTCTATTCTATTCTATTCTATTCTATTCTATTCTATTCTATTCTATTCTATTCTATTCCTTTCCCATTCCATTCCATTCCATTCCATTCCATTCCATTCCATTCCAAAATGACCTCTAAGACCAACCCCAACTACACTGGCAGGGCAAGCCAGTCATAGAACACAAACTGAGAGCAAACCCCATTCTCTTCCAGTGCTGATGATGTTCCCTAGCTGGGTCATGAAACGTCTGCAAGAAAACAGCCCAGCTCAGAGAGCCCCAAGGACCCCTCGTTTCAACCCTGAGCTACAAAGATTCCCTCTGTTTTGTCCCGGAAGCCTTCTGTAGGTGGGGCTGCTGGGCCCCTGGCCCTGGCTTCTGCCCTGGGTGACCCCCTAACAACAGGCCCCCGCAGGAAGGCCGTTCTCTGGCAAGGCTTCCTCCAAAATTCAGGGCAGACCCAGCAAGACAGCGATGGCCGTCCGAGGCCGTCGAGGGGGAAAGTCATCT